TAAAATTTAAAATTTTGTACAACCGACTTCAATATAAATTATTAAGAATAACCCAAAAACTATTTGTCAGGCCTTGATCAATTATATGGGACCACATGTGAACCACCAGCTTTCAAATAAAAAAAGAATCATAAAAATCAGTTCACCCAGTAAAAAGTTATGAGGTAACACACATAAAAAAACATACAGTCGAAGTGAGTACCGGCTCCTTTTTGAAGTCGATAGAAAATGGTGTTATGTTTTAACTATATAAATAGCAAAATCGCTATGAGTATAGCATAATTTGTAAGGGATTAAAGTTACAAATCGCTCCGCTACCTGTTTCGTTATATATCTCTCGGATTTACTGGCCGCGTCGCTAATGTTATATCGATCCGTTAGTTTGGCAGCGGTTACAGTCCGTGCCATGCAGCACACGTCACTCGTTCCCGCTCCCTACCTACAGAACTTGCCGACTAATGCCAAATCGCATCTACAGCTCGTTTGTGAACGAAAGAGGACGTAACTTTGTATGGGAGCGCTGCTGCTGAATTCGAAACGATATCGTTAGTTCAAAGCGCACATTTAGCTTTTAGGTTCCGTTGCTCCATTGCTAATAAAACGGTACTTGATTGCTTCTAAAATTCTTTGATTACTCCGTATTGTACGGGAAATATGGTAGAAATAGCATTAATCATAAATTCATTCATTCTTTACTGCCTATCAAAAGTCCACTGCTGAACGATGATGGCCTCATAGGTGGGATATTTGCCATTGTTGCGATGTTTTGCTGGCGGGTTTGAAACTACAGTTTTTATGTTAATTTAATATTACTTATTATCCGAAAGATGTTGCTGCCCATCTCCTGTTTTATTTACCTCTCCCGCCTGCTACGAAACCCACGGGATGATATGGGGTGTTCGATTCTCTTACGCCGAGACTAAACGACAACAATCGCTCGCAGACAATGATCAAGTAGTACTTTTTTATTAATTGTATATTATATTATTATTATATTTATATAATTGTATATTATATATAATTTTCTACCGACTTCAAAAAAAGGAACCTCCTGTCTCGTCAGAATGTTTTATGTATGTTCACCGATTACTCGAAGACACCTAAACCGATTTGGAATTTTTTTTGTTTCAAAGGGTATATTCCCCAGGTGGGTCTCATTTAAATTTTATCGAAATCTGTCGATCGGTTTTAAAAAAAAATATCAACAATAAATTATTAATATTGAAGTCGGTTGTACAAAAGTTTTAATATTACACTTGTTATTACTTTTATGTTATGGCTTCTTCTTCATTATGATTATCCCCTAAATGTCCATTGGGTCGCTCCCGTTTTAGGAAAGAGTTGCCTTAACTGTCACGCTGCTTCCCGTCTTCGATCTGAGTATTTAACTCTTGATGTTAATGAGACTGTAATACTGCCATCTAGAAACAATAAGATATTTTTGTCATATCCATAGTCGACTCCTACGACACCCATGGAACGAAATGTGGTGATAGATTACGCCGCCTGCACATTACAATATTATGTAGCTTGGTTATAGCTTACTAGGTACATCCAATTTATAAACCGCAGCCCGTTAATTGGATTTCTGGTCCATTCGTTAGACGTCTGTATTCAACTAAATGTCTGTTTTACATTCACTAAATACTTATTTGTAATTTTTACTTGTTTCAATTTCCACTAGTCTTGATTTAGAGGTTCTTTTTTTAAACGAGTTGAATGTAAATTCAAGAAAAACATCTTCCTTCTGCGTGAATCCCATATCCCTGGTTTTTGGTATTTGACCTACAGGACCCAAATTCAAACTCGTCCGAGCTACTACCTCAGGTATCCACATACCAAATTTAAAGTCAATCGGTCCAGTGGAACGGAAGTTATCGTGTCGGCATGCAGACTAACAGACTGCCAGCTAAAACCATTAACTTCCTTTCAATGCTACGCAGAAGGAAGTTAATAAAACTGAAGTGACAAGTGGAACTATACAGTCCACCTGATAGTAAATGGCAATCCATGGACACCTGCAGCTAACTTCAAATAAAAAAGCTACTGATGTTTTTTTTATAGGATAAGGGCGACAAACGAGCGCACATTCCACCTGATAGTAAGTGGTTGCTGTGGCCCATAGACATCTACATCTATCCTCGATTACGAATCAAAATACAGATGCGTTGTCACCTGTGAGGACTAAGATGGAATGTTTCATTTCCAGTATAAATGGTCTCCGGTTCTCTACACTGACCATACGAAACACAGCAGCATTAAGCTGCTATTTTACGCTGGTATTCTGTGAGAGCGTTATCCTAGGCCGGTCGAGCCGTTCTACAACTATACCAGATATACAGCTGCAGCGTGGCTCTACTACGTATAGAAACGTGATGTGTTTTCACTTCTGAGGACCAATATGGACTTCATATTAGTCCTCAGAAGTGTGAGGCATTCCTGTCCTGTCATTATACTGGCTACCTATAGCTTACAGATAGGAACACAGCAGTGCAAGCACTGCTAGTTGGCGGCAGGAATAGGTAAGAGGGTCATACCTCCCAAACGGACTCCTAGACAGATAATTTAAAATTAAAAATTTTGTACAACCGACTTCAAAATATATTATTAAGGATAACACAAAAATGTTGGTCAGACCTTGATCAAATTTATATGGAACCACACGAGAAGCACCAGCTTTCAAATAAAAAGAATCATCGAAATCGGTTCACGTAGAACAAACTTATGAGATAACACACATAAAATAACATACAGTCGAATTGAGTACCTCCTACTTTTTGAAGTCGATATAAAATGAGTCAAATCACCTAGTAGATGTTAGTCATATTGATGACAGCACTGTTAGACATATTAATTCAGATAGGAACATATTATTCAGTTCAATTACATCAGTTGATGTCGAGTGTTAAACATTGGCATTGAGCCAAATATACGAGTATCTTAATCACACTAATATTCGATTGCCATGATTATTTATTTCTAGATTCAAATGTAATAGGTTTCATTTTAGATTTAGGTGTATACCTATACCTTGACTGTGTTTTCACTTTTTTTTTCTACATTATAGACATATGAAATCGTTTCATTGTTGAGTAAACAATAGTTGAAGTTGTTTTTGAAATCAAAACTTTAGTGAAGCTAATTTTATATAACTTCAACTGCTCAGTTGATTGATCACTTTGTCTTAGTTGGTAGCGTGTCGATTGTAAAATAGTGATACGAGTAGTTGACAACGAAAATTATTGTAGTTTTGTTTAAATTGTACTTTAATAGTACTTTACGCAGAGCCTCACAATTGAGTTACGGCGCTGAGAGCCGCGCGTTCGAATCCCACACGGAACAAATATTTGCATGGCCTACAAATAGTTGTTCCGAGTCTGGAAATTTATGTATGTAAACTGTCTTCACGATACAGAAGAAAATATTGGGTATAACGATATTTTTTTAATAAAAATGTTTCTATGAGTATAACAATAAATAGAGCTTTTAAAGTTTTCATAAATTTATCATAATACATAAATAAAAGTTTTCGTTTTCGTGTTATGACGATGGTGATGGATGATAGATATATTGTTCTTTCATTTATTTATTAGTTATTTTTTTATATTAATGATTTTTTTATTTACTTATTCTTTTTCGAACCTTGCACAATGTATAGGAACAAAAAGGGTGGACTTCATATTAAAAGCTTTTTCTGATCTTCCTTAGGGCCTCGTTAACCGTATTATAGTGATATAGCATCAGAGGAAAAGCTAATGGAATTACCAAAAAATCAGATCGATAAAATTCTATCTTCTAATTCTAATTCTGTGTCTACTATTTATATACTATTAAAAAATAATTATAACAAATGGCGGACCTAATGCCTAAAGACATTCTCGGTCCATTAGGCTAAGCAAAGTTAAAGGAGGGGTGTAGCAAAAACTAAAAAGAAAAAAGAATAATTGAACAGATTATAAATAAAAGTTATTAAATAAATTAAAATTGCATAGGTATTCTATTTAATAAATCTTAATAACATACCGGATGACATTTTTTACCGGAAGAAAAAAATTGGGTGTAATAGGTGAACGAAACAGAAGCCTGTGGCATAGATAGTTTTTTAACTTTTATTATTAAATAAACTTTAATTTGGAAAAAAATGTTATTAAAAATAACTTAATTCAAATGATGTACACCCTACTTTATGCATGGTAAGTATCAATGAATTTGTTACGTCCTTGACCTTAAACTGGCCGCTAGATAGAAAGTTTTCTTCAAATTATATGATGTAAAATGTCAATGAAAAAACCATAAATTTGATGAACATCTATGCCATAGGCTTCGACTTCGTTCACCTGCTACACCAATTTTTTTGCTCACGGTAAAAAATTCAGTTCGTATATGTATTTTTTTGTATATATTATATACAAAAAAATAGTACGTGTCAGCTCCGACGCGACTAGAGTTTACTCCTTGAGAACGTTCATTTCATATCAAATTAGTGCGTTTAGGCCATCTAGCATCTATTTTACATAATACTGTCTATCACCTTGAGAATCAGGTCAACCAACATGTTCGATTAAAAATACCTATAGGTGTATGTAGATTACGCTATTTACACGCGTTCAATTTAAGATGAGCGAATGTAATGATTTCAAAGTTTACGCGAACACTAAACATTTGAATGAAACTAGTTTGCCTCTTATGACACCCACAGGACGATATGGGGTAGTAGATATACTTAGACCGCCACTACACAGTTCAAAAATCCGTAAAAAATTCCATAAAATGTAATAATTACATTCAAATGCGCGAATGTGTTGCGCGGATGTGCAACTTAACGACATTACTTTTTGTTATCTCGAATTCGCTCCCCGTCTAATTTTTGTTTCGCGAGCTATGTAAGCAAATCGATTCTTAAGGAGTAAGCTCCAATAAACTCAACAAAATATGGAAACATACGCTAAGTGGGTGGCGTGTGCCGGTAGAGGCGGCGGCGGCTTGACCGCGGCGGCGCGATGAGCGCGGGCGCGCTGCGGGCGGGCGGCGCGGGCGACTCCACGCCCGGCTCCGACCTCGGCGAGCGCATCACGCGCCTCTTCCCCAAGTGCCGTCCCAGGAACATGCAGCACCAGCACGATAGGTACGCACCCTGTTCCGTGTAACAGCTACACAGCAACAGCTACAGCTAGCTAGTACGCCTGCCGCGCAATGTTTGTCCAACCGTGTCACAGCTAGCCAGTACGCCTGCTGCGCAACCATGTGTCGAACCGTGTCACAGCTACACAACTAAAGCTAGCCAGGACGTCTACCATGCAATCGTGTGGTTAATATATACAAATCACTCGAAAACGGTGCACGGAGATGCTAAGACTCGCCTGTTAGTAAACACTAGAGTCTTTCGTGAAGGTATTTTATGCTGGATGTTGCTATTCGCAACATTAAGCCTTCTATTTTTCAATACAATATATACAAAGGATGGCGGAGAAGTAATATCATAATGCGAATTGGCTGACATTTTTTAGAAATGAAAAAAATTGGGCTCTGTTTTCACGAAAAGTTTTCTTGCACATGCGTGCTCGTTTTATGACGTTTTGAAGGTTTGTGGTCTGTTATAGTAAACGCGAGATTTCAAAAAATACCAATGGAAGAATTCTGGTGCGGTCAGATCTAGCGATCTGCCCGGTTAATTCAAATCGCCAAAACGGGAGGTCACACGGCCCGGAAATTGGTGTCTCAAAATCGCCATCGTTGCCCTAGCTATGTGGAAGCGGTTGCTCCGTCCTGTCCTGACCAACAATGCTCGAGATTTAATCAATGACTTGAGGCAAAAAGAACTCTCTCAACATCTGTCTGTAGCGGTCAATAGTTACGGTTACGGAAGTGTCACAGTAACGGAGGCTTCCTCAAAAAATAAGGGCTAGTTACTTTTTCACTGCAAATGCATTAAATAGTAACTTTGAGAGGATTCTTCAGAGAGGACGATTCAATAGCACTTTAGTGGAAATGTTCTTCGTCGCTCTTCATGATTTTTAATACGAAATCATCCTCTTCTTGCACCAGGTTTAACAGAACGCGGGAGTCAGTTAACCTCGCTTGACGTTCAGCAGACAATAGTTGGTGTACAGTTTGCACTTTTTAAGGGAACATCTTTAGCTCTTTCACAAAAATTCGTTACAAGTCTTTTAGACGCCATTTGAAAACATAATGGCGTATTAACATTATGACATTGCTTTTGCGCCAGCCTATATATGGAACAAACCTATTTTGCCTTGTCAATTAATTGATAAACTTTTGTCACTCACTAAATGGTGAAAATAAATACGCTTTTCCGCTTCTGTCTGTGTTCGCTTAAAAATTTTAAAATTAGTTCGTGGATTTTTATAAAATATTTTTAATTTTTTTTAAATCATCGATGCGAATCCAGGGCTTGTCGCTGGTATATAATGTGAGCTTAAAAGTCATGTTTGCCAGGTAAATTATAGTCTATTATAGGTTTATCGCCTATTACGCCTGTACGATACTTATAGATTATATATATATATAAATTTTTGGGTTTACCGCCGCAATATGTACATAACTTCAAGTCCTGCAAATTATGTAATTTTGACGCATATTGTGATATCAATAACATCTCTAGGACTGGACATAGACTGTACGCGTACTTTTTCAGCCCCTAAAGTATTTTTTATAGAATAAGGGTCACAAACGACCACACACTGATGGTTAGTGGATTCTGTGACCCATAGACATCAAAATGCAGATGAGTTGTCACCTCTGAGGACTAAGATGGTATGCCTCGTTTCTAGTAAAAAGGGTCTCCCGTTCTCTCGTTCTCTGCACTCACCATACGAAACATAGCAGAATTAAACTGCTATTTTACGCGTATATTATGTGACAGGGTGGTCCTTCACCGGTCGAGCCGAGCCATTCGTGCTACAACCATAATGTAGCTGCAGGGTGGCTCTACCACGAGTGTGTGTGTGTGTGTGTGTGTGTGTGTGTGTGTGTGTGTGTGTGTGTGCGTGCCCTTGACGCTGCTTCCCTTCTCCAGTCAGTCAAGTCGAACGTAAAAGAGATGGTTAACTGCCATATTCGGAAGAAGTTATCACGGCTTTTTGTAATTATATTCTATGTAATTTTGTCCTAACATTCATAATCACTGCAGTAATGTTACATGCCAGTTTTAAAATAAGGGTTGGCCTAATGTCATTTATAATAATTATGCTTCCACATAGAATAACAACTCCGTTTGTTAGACGCTTTGAATAAGCAATGTTGCACGCAATACGCTGTTTAGTCGATTCCAGTCTTTGATCTACATAATTATGTAAGTATATTGCTTCGGGATTTCTGCACAAGCAATGCTATATACTTTGCATCGAAAACAAATACAATTTAGAAATGAATTAAGCTTCTGGTAAACTTTAAAAGCTTAGTAATTATCTGCAATTTGATTTTTAATCGAGGGTAGATGTTGTGTCGGTGTCTACGGACCACACACTATTTGTTGCTGTATTGCGCCAATATGTAGATTCCAGTCATATGAATGGAAAAAAAGTAAAGCTTCATTTATTTGATACATACATTAACAACAAAAACATATAAACACATGTGATTAAAAAATATATGCACTCATCAGTCTTAGGCTGTTTATACATTAACAAATAAAAACAGCAGGGAGGAAAAAGCGGTAGTGTATCAAATTAAAAAAAAATGACACCAAATAACTTATTTCATCACATTTTGGTATCCAACTCACCATATTGCTGTAAAAAGCCAGCAGCGCTCGTGATGGTGATTGGATTAAAGTGGTCGTAGAGAATGTAGAATTTATGCTTTTAGTAAAATTGAAAGGTTAACGGGGGAAGTAGGTAATAGTAACTTAGTGCTGCTGTGTTTCGTATGATTAGTGATGAGAACCGGAGACCCTTTTAAAGTATACACATTTTGATTATAAATCGAGAATAGATATAGAGCCACAGTAATCATCACCATCAGGTTGACTATGTGCTCATTTGTTACTAATATTATATAAAAAATAAAACAATCGAACCAAAGAACGCCTTTACTGGAAAATTTAATTTCTCAACGCATCTACATTTTAATTCTTAATCGAGTATGGATGCAGATGTCTATAAGCCATAGCAATATCTTACCATCAGGTGGACTGTAGTGTGCACATTTGTCGCTCTTATTCTATAAAAAAGATAGATGTCGCTGTTGACGAATACGATCGAGTGCCGTCCCTAAACCAATGAGGTTAGGACTTTAAAATTACATACTACACAAGCAACCCAAGTTGGTAACTTCACCGGCATCACTAACAATTAGTCGCAATCCAAAAATAATTTGGAAAATCCAAAAGTGCACACCTTGAAGGCTCATGTAATGTTTTGAATAATCAATTTACTTTTATTATTTACCGAAACGAGTATTTCGTTCAAAGCCAAAAATAATTGTTCCTGTTTAATTAACACAAAATGTTTTTGACTGCTTGATACCGGTGATTCTTATTTTGTTACCGAAACAAAAAGATAAATGATTAATTTTTAAAAAAATGCGTGAGTGTCGTGGAATACTCGGTATGGTACGAAGCTCCTTATTATTGATAAGCGTATTATATTATTGATTAACAAATACAAATAAATGTATTACTAGCGTCTATTAAAATGAAGCGTCATTTAAAATAAAATTCACTATGACACAATGGGTAGTGACGAAAAAATCTTACACTTCTTGTCGCCTAGTTCCCATCCGCCAAACCCGTACCGTCCGATAAGGAACTTCGTTTCAAAAAACTTCTTAGAATTGCGAGGAGCTGTGTAACTTTTCTAGGTTGTTCCTTTACGTTAATTCTAACAGCGGTGCACGCCCTTCCGCTTGATGGCAAAAATAGTTAAGATGGTCGTGCCTACCCAGACGCGCTCCGAGGCTCTAATATGATCCTACCACTTAGGAGTCCCTACCATTTAACATTGGACGGCTCCGTGGCGCATTGTAACGTGGTAGAGCCATGCTGCAACTATATTAGTAGTATAGTTGTAGCACGAATGGGTCAGCTCGACCGGGGAAGGACCACGATCTCACAGAATATCAGCGTAAAATAGCAGCTTAACACTACTGTATTTCGTATGGTGAGTCTACACTCCTGCTACTCTACTCTCTACAGACCTTTTTATTGGAATAGAGGCATTTCATCTTAGTTCTCACGGGTGACAACGCATCTGCATTTTGATTCGCAAACGAGGATAGATGTAGGTATATATGGGCCACAGTAACCACTTACCTGTGGACTGTGTGCTCGTTTATCACACTATCCTATAAAAAAAAATCCCACACGCAATAAATATTTGTATACCCAACAAATAATTGTTCCGGGTCTGGATGTTTGTCCTTGTGAAATCAATGTTTGTAAACTGGCCCCACGATACAGGAGAAAGTCTGAGTGTGGAGGTAATGTTTATTTTTTTTTAATTTTATTCATCAACAACTCGTTCCAAAAATCAGTCGCGTCCATACACAACGCCACGTAATCACCAGTTCGCGTGCCGGAACGGGCTCCCGCTAACTTATTACCTTTGAACCGCTCACGTGATCGCGGCTTAATTACGAAACGCCACTGTTGTTAAACGAGGCCGTAAGTCTCGCTCCTTACGTCGTCTACACGTGAAATTGGTCGTGGAAGTCGTAAAGTTTTCGTTTATTTACATACCAGAGACGAGGAAATTTATATATTCAAATGTGAGTGACGATTATTAGACGGAGTTCATTACTTTACGTTACTTATATGATACCGCTCTAACAAATTCCTTAGAGTCTAGTTATATTGATGATTCTTGAAAGATATCCGTTTCATGCTGCTGTAAAATAATATCGTATGCCGATGATACTACACTAACTTTTTATGGGGATTCATGGAAATGGAAAGAAGTTTTTAATATTGCACAAGGTTTTAATACCGTTTGTCAGTGGCTAGCCATAAATTCACTTTCACTAATATAAATTGATAAAACCAAATATATAACGTTTTCGATTCACAAATTACCAAAATATATTAACATTTATAAAATTATAGCTCATTCATGTTATCAATAATTTCCTAGTTCAAATTGCAACTGCTTTAATATAATGAATACACAAGAAATACCTAGGTATAACAATAGATAATAATCTGAAATTTAAAGCACACATAAGAAATTTAACCCAAAAAGTCAGAAAATTCACTTCCATTTTTAAAAACTTAAGATATGTCACAAACTGGACTTAGCTAAAAAGTGTTTATATATTTTTATGCCAATCTATATTAACCTACGGTATTACTGTTTGGGGAGGTTGCAATAAAATGCTTTAATTGCAAAGAGCTCTATAGGGTTGTATCAATATATTTTATAATTAAACATATTAATTTTAAATAAATAGCAGATAATTGAAGTATTTAAGGGAGTAGGGAGTACAATCAGACTTTATTCAATTGAACTCAACTTGCAAAACGTAAAAAGACATTAAACGGAGGTCAGATTTTTTGTAAATGTTTTATTATAACTTCAATTCGGAAAATCAAAGAAGAAAAAATCTAATAATCAACACGCAATTTTCCGCTACGCTAAAGAAATAGTACAACCAAAATCTCTTTTTTTTTAAGGCTTCATCAACCTTTTACAGTCGAGTGCTGTGCGTTTCAACTCAATGACAACGCAGTACCAAATGTCTCGCATCTTTGACGTCCCCCGACGTCGTTATTCATTACATCTTGCCTATCCTTTACAACACCCACGGGAATAAATGAGGAAGCGAATTCTCTGCAGACGCCACAGCTTCACAACTAACCGCCATCTGACAGCTGATGAGGGCTCTGTGGTGCAGTGGCTTGGCAACGAATTACGGCGCTAAGGACCGCGGGTTCGAATCCCGCATGGAACAAGTATTTGTATGGCCTACAAGTAATTGTTCCAGGTCTGGATTTTTGTCCTTGTGAAATTTATTTATGTAAACTGCCTCCACGATATAAGATAAAATCTTATTGTGGAGTAATGTGTTTTTTAAAAAAAAAAGAAACAAACAAAACAGAATAAAGATATCTAGTATATGTTAATTATCATAATATTACCTTGATCAAAAATAATTAAATAAAAATAAATCAATAGCTAGACTACGTTGATAATGAATAATCCAAGCTTAAGCACTTTAAGCACCATTAAGCACCTCTTATTAAAAATTTTAATTACTTCTTCCGTATTAAAAAGCAATTAGTTCCTTCCTTCTTACTTGAATAATTTTAAATCACAGTTTTAATCTTGAACATTTCTTTTAATATTTTTTTGTTTCACCTCTTTTTATTATAAATACATTATGTGTTGTTTGCTGTGTATTACTGGTGTACGGTTAATGTATTAGTTCTTCATCAGTGTAATATGTATTTAAGCTTTTTGTGTGCTCTTTTTTCTTTTTTCCATTGTAGCCTTGTTAAAATTTGGCTGTTTCACGCTATTCAGTACGCGATCAACCAGAGCTTAGTAATAATTATAAGTGCATATTCACCACGTATTAGGCTATGTATGAAAACATCATGACGAAACCTGCAAGTTTAAGAATTTAAAAAAAAACGAAGACATGTGTGTCCATTATCATGCAGGAAGTGGATAGCTGCGGGTAGCTCAGGACCGTGCGTTGTGGCATTCTTTGGGGGACGCCTATGTTGAGCAATGCACGTGTTGAGGCAGCGTGACGGATACTTCCTTGCCCTAAAAGCCCTCTAAGAAATGTGAGATGGCCTGTGCCCAGCATGCATATATAGGGAAAGGACCACGCTCTCGCAGAATATCAGTGTAAAATAATAATTAATAATTCTTAATCGAGGATAAATGTAGATGTCTATGGGCCACAGCATCCACTTACCATCAGGCGGACTGTGTACTCTTTTGTCGCCCTTATTATATTTAAAAATTGTTTATAAACCGTCAAATAGCAATTATGCGTACGGTGGCCAACCTTACCAGTTTGTTCGGGCCAATCCCGCAATAGCTTTGTTGAATTATCTTTCATTATTAAGTTAATGTAATACTACTGCAAGTTCCTTAATGCGTCGTTTTGCCCTTACAAAAATACTGTTCTTTCCAGTTTCATTTCTTTACGTTGATCAATACTGAAAAATAGTTTTTTCCTTTTTTTATAAAACTGAAGTGACAAAGGAATTTACAGTCCAGCTGATGGTAGGTAGATAATGCAGCTAACTTCAAACAAAGAAGGCTACATATGCGTTGTCAACTCTTCGGACAGTGATGGAATGCCTTACAGCCTGTTATTATACTGTTGTTTGAAGTTAACACCGTGTGTGTGTGTGTGTGTGTGTAAGAATATCCACTACCCATTGAGTTATATGTCCCACGTACTAGAGAAGCTATTCCAAACAAAAATTGTGCGCTACTCTATGTTTTCGCGCATGCGCGGGATATAGTAGAGTCGCGCATGCGCAAAGAAATTTAATCTATACAAATAAATAAAATTGAAGTATCTGTTTGTAATTTCAGAATACCAGCATTTTACTAAATGCATATGAAAGTATATACGGTACTTATAACATGAACACAATTTTTAAAATTTTTGTCTGTTTGTCTGTTTGTTCCGGCTAATCTCCGAAATGGCTGGACCGATTTCGACGGGACTATCACTGGCAGATAGCTGATATTATAAGGAGTAACTTAGGCTACTTATATTTTAGAAAAAGAATTAGGGTTCCGCGCAACATAATTAAAACCCTAAATTACACGCGGGCGAAGTCGCGGATAACAGCTAGTATAAAATAAGATATTAATATAAATTTAATATAAGAATTTAATATAAAATACTCTTATTTTAATCTAAACAAACATATTTCTAAATAAAATATAATAATAATTATCTTATGGAATTCACAAATCTTCAATTTACGCAATATTTAGTTGACAAGTTGACTTGAACATACTCAATATTCGGAATGCGAAATCTAGTGCGTAGTACATATATATATCGACATAGTAAGAGGGAAATTGAAACAGTAGATGGGCAGCTGCATAACAACTCAAAATAATAATAGAACTGCGGTTGCTAACCCGCCTACCCAGCGTGGTAGCATGCCATAGTTAATGGAGTGGATTGTAATTAAATGTTATGCAGTATGTAGTATATGTTGTGCAGTAAGAACTGGCTTAATAATCTGAACTAAACCCACGATTCATAAAAAATGCCACCGATTTTAGACTCATAAAGTAGACATCTTTACGAATGAGATTTTAATGAATTAATAATCGAGCTTAGCTAACTAAAAAATAAGGGATACTGGAACTTTTATTACAGATCGTGTTGTAATAGAAGTATCATATTGGCTTGCAGGCTGAACTCCGGTGTGGAGGGCCGAGAGATGAACAACGTGAACAACGTGTCCTCGGACGAGGAGCGCGGCACCGACGGACAGCTGGTCATACTGAACTCCAAGGGAGGCACTTACAAATTGAGAGATTCCAGGTGTATATATAATTATATAATAAATTATAAACTGTCAAAAAATCTGGACAACGCGAGAGTAAAAGTATTATGGAAAGGTATGAATTTCGCAATAACACCGCGAAGAATCCCATATGAAGACATCTGTAGTGTTGAGGATTGTCTGTGTAAAAATAATATTGGTAAAGAAGATTCAGAGGCCATACGTCAAGGCATTTCGTCTATGTCACGTACGGTATGATCTTTGTTATGTTTTGTCCGTGTTCATTTTGAGACCTATCCGTCGACAAAACTCAAGTTCGCTAACATAAGGATATATTCCTATATACCTTAAAATTAAAATAACATATTTTGTAATACCAAGTAGTGGGATTTATAATACTTTTGCCCAGGCTTGGGCAAACGCAACCACTTTTTTCTTCGAGTATTATTTAGTTTTAGTTAATTTTTGTACGGCTACGTTCAATGTTATTTGGCAGTCATTTGAGCCTATGCGCAGGCTATATGAGCAACCTCAAGGTCGTTTAGTGAGCTATGAAGAGTCCTTACAGTTACAGCCTACTAAAATCTACTGCTGAACAGAGGGCACCTTCATAAAATGCCTCATGGATACAAATGCTCGTAAAAGAACACCGATTCCTAATACCAGCCATGCCCCTAATTCCAGCCTTTTTGCCTTTTTACTTCGTAAATAAGATTTCTAATAGTCTTAACTACAAATACTGTCAACTAAAAAAATCTTCGTAACTAGAGGAAAGTATATTTCAAATATTATCTCACAGTTTTAAACCTAACAGTGTTAAAAGCGCTCATTTTGCTAATTTTTTTGACAAGTTATGATCCCGGTAAAATTATGCATACTTTACATTATTTCATATATAGACTTTTTGATTTGTATGAATATGACTATAGACATAGTAATGCAGTTATTTTTGTTTAAATTTACAAGTTATTTATTTTCTTTTAGTGGAAATCAATAGGGCTGTAATTTGATATATGAAATGTATGGAGTGCATAATGTCTGCCGCCCGGCTGTTGGCTGTTGGTTTGACGTACCTAATAAGAAGTACCTAATTTCAGCCACGTAATATAAATCAGGGCTGTCCTAAACTTAAATAAATACCATTAATTAGATCATAACTTATTTTTATAATTAAGGGAGCTATGATCAATTCATCTGTTTTAAAATTGGTTTTAGATTTTAAAGTTTAGCAAATGATGTACTTACTTTTCTATCTGACATTCGGTGTATATTAAGAACACTTAATGTATTCAATTACTCGTATTTTCGTAACTTTCATTATGGGGGTATAGGGGGTATCTCGAGTGGCAGCCTCGTACCGGCAGGCGAAGTGTAGGGCGTCCCCCCACTAGATGGAGTGACGACCTGGTAAGATATGCAGGAAGTCGATGGATGCAGGTGGCTCAGGACCGTGCTTTGTGGCATTCTTTGGGGGAGGCCTATGTTCAGCAGTGGTCTTGTGAAGGGCTGTGATGATGTGATGATGACTCGTATTTTATGTAGAAGAAGAAAACACAAGCAATAAACCACAAGCAAAAACTATAACTTTGTAATACTAATTATAACTTAGAATATAAATGAAAAACTCATGACAAGGATGACTCATGACATTTTTAACAGTGGTAGAGCCACGCGGCAGCTTTTGCTGTCGCACGGATGGGCCGGCTTGAACCGGGGTAGTACCACGACCTCACAGAAAACCAGCGTGAAGTAGAGGTTTACCTCTGCGTTTCGCTTGGTGAGTGCAGGTGGCCGGAGGCCCTTTTTACTGGAAATGAGGCATTCCATCTTAGTCCTCACGGGTGACAACGCATCTACATTTTGATTTGTAACAGAGGATAGATGTAGATGTCTATGGGCCGCAACAACCACTTACCATCAGGTGGACTGTGTGCTCGTTCGTCACCCTCATCCTATAAAAAAAAAGGAAAGTGGCTTAGGACCAGGCTTTGTGGCAGTCTATGGAGGAGGATGTTCAGTAGTGGACTTGTGTAAGGTTGTAATGACGATGATGATTTGAAAACTTTGATGATTAAATTATTAGAAATCGATGTACAACATAATATTTTATCATAATTTGCTTTAATTTATTGAACTGCTTTAAACTAAAACACAGTAAGTTAAGTAGTAAAACATTAAAATAAAATAATGTTGTCGTCTGCCTTAATACATATTCCATGCTTGTGACATGCAGATTCAAAATTAAAAGTTGTTACGAATTTATTACTGTGCCTCTAAAACTTACCTAGAATAGGTACCGGTTCAGGGTGGCTGAAATTTGAGCTATAATGCCTTTTTTTGCTTATCGTCATTTTTAAAATTGTTCTTGAAATAATATGATTGTAAATAAATGTTCATTACATTTGTCCAAAAATAACCTATCGATTAAAACAAATGTTTAAAAATATTGTGCCCTAATTAAAATAGCAGGAATTTTAAAGTCGAAATTGGCACTAAAAGGCTGGTAATAGGGTCATCCACCCTACTAAGGATGATACGCGAGGCTATTGAAATTAAAAAACATCCTAATTTCAATAGATATGATGGATGGGTGCTGCCACCTGCTTAGGATCCTATAATTAACAAAATTAAATCCAAACGCAAGCATACCACTGCAAGACTTCAAGATACGGTAAGCTCATTCTGCGTAGATCGAACTAAAAATTAATATTCAAAAACTAAAGGTAGCCGGACTAACTGTGACATCGGGACATCAAACATCTCAGTGCCCTTCCCCCCCCCCCTCATGACCATGGGTTGCTGTAAAGCACCATAAACGTCGGAAATTAAAATAAGGAAATTAAACGCGATAAAATCCGTAAAAATAGTTTTATTCAATGTGTACCTTAAATGTAAGAAATCATTATTTATAGGTACTTTAATTTCAATCCAATTTTTTATTTGAAGAAACGGTTTCAACCAGTTCGTACCTAATAATGATTGTTGGCTGTTTTATTTTAATTTATTATTATATTTAATAATTTCAATCGGGCTTAGGATAATCGAGATAGCGGGCGGTCGGGAGCTGTACTCCCAGAGCCGCGCGAAGGCGGTGCGCAAGCTTCGACACAACAACACGCACAAGCAAAACCTGAGAAACAAGCGCCCGCTGACCAAGGACTCCAACGATTATACGGACAATATTAACAATGAGGTATGTTCTTACTCTGGAAAATGTAGTACATACTGTGTAAAACTGTGTGTTCTTTAGACTATAGAATCTTCCGTATGTCCATCTTGAAAAAGCATTAAAGATACTGTGCAAAAACTCCAATTTCTGTTACGTGGTAGAGCCATGCTGCAGCTATATTTCTGGTATAGTTGTAACACGAATGGGTCGGCTCGACCGGGGAAGAACCACGCTCTCACAGAATACCAGCGTAAAATAGCAGCTTAATGCTGCTGTGTTTCGTATGGTGAGTGTAGAGAACCGGAGACCCTTTTTACTAGAAACGAGGCTTTCCATCTTAGTCCTCACGGGTGACAACGCATCTGCATTTTGATTAGTAATCGAGGATAAATGTAGATGTCTATAGGCCACAGCAACCACTTACCATCAGGTGGACTGTGTGCTTGTTTGTCACCCTTATCCTATAAAAAAAACGTATAGTTTGGGACTCTTTCCGGCGGCCAGTCTCAACGGATACTAGCCATCTGCGCAGGACAGGAACATATCGCACGAGTGTGTGCGCAACCACAAGCGCACTTTCTATTCTCTCCGTTCTGACGGGACGGAAATATGACACCACCGGTGAGAGTTCAGCCGCAGGGCCAATGGCTTTATGTGCTTTCCGAGACGCGGAGGTGAAATACCGCCAATTTCCTGACTCCGTGTTGCTACTGAGAATTTCTTGACAGAAAAATTCAATAACTGATTTTGGGCCTATCCGAAATTTACACCTGGGACCTCGTGATAAGCAGTCGCGCATACGACCACTGGATCAACGAGGCAGTCATACTCGGTGTGTCACAGTCAAAACTCATAACCGGTCAAAACCACTTTTGACTGCAAAAATCAGGCAGAAATGGTTTTGACCGATGCCCTTAGTCAAAAACAGTTTTGACTGATTTTTGTAGTCAAAAGCGGTTCTGACCAACGTTGTGGTGTTGTCCGATTTAAACTTCAGACTATCTGTCAAAACCCGTAATATCAGTAACAGTAGGTTAAGATGCGGCTGGGGTGGTCCTTGGGCCACCCTAAATCCGCGTACATTATAATGATAAAAAATATAATACTAAAAAAATTGAACGTATTAATTTCAGAAATTCAAAAATTATTATACAAAACAAATTTTGACCAACATTGTTGGTCAAAGTCAATTTATCAAATGTTATTTGGTCAAAATCACTATTACCCAGTATTTTTGCAGTTAAAAGTGGATTTGACCAACAGCCTTAGTCAAAACAACTTTTGACTGCAAAAATCAGTTAAAAGTGGTATTGACAAACGTCCTTAGTTAAAACTACTTTGCCTGATTTTTAAGGTACGGATACCTCAAAAGGAAAAAACGGAACCTTTATAGGATCACTTTGTTGTCCGTCTGTCTGTCTGTCTGTCAAGACCCTTTTTCTCAGGACCGCGTGGAGGTATCAAGCTGAAATTCATATCAAATACTCAAGTCTACTATCCCTTAGAGCTGTGAAAAAAACAAACTTCTAAGCCAACGCAATCAAAAGATACAGCCGTTTATGCCGTAAATTTTCGACATTCGCAACGGAATCAAAACCTACAGGGTACTTCCCGTGAACTCAGAATCTTGAAATTTGGTACGAAGCAACGTTTTGTAGCACAAATAAAGGAAAAATTGCGAAATGCATAAATTTTTAGTTACATCACCTACAGATTTGTTCGGAACCCTCGGTGCGCGAGTCCGACTCGCACTTTGCTGGTTTTTTTTTACAGACGAAAGAGGTTTTGATCGGTTAGGAGTTTTGACTGCAACAGGTATATAATATAATATAATATAACACTGTCAATCTCGACATCGTAAAATACAATTAAAATCTAAAATACATTGTTTTGATCGTAACGTTAATAATTTGCATTTAAATGGCACTAAAACAAAGTGTATGAAATTCATAAGTCCATAAATACCAATGTAATTTTAAATGGGAAGGAGCTTAGTCTTGCCGATAACACAAATTTTCTTGTAATCACACTAGAGAGGAAGCTTCAAATTCAAATTCAAATGTATCAAAACTAGCAGGCAGACTTAGTTCTGCAGCATATACTGTAAAAGAGATTAGAAATCTTACCAGTGTTAAAACAGCTAGACTAGTTTACTTTAGCTATTTCCATATCATAATGTCGTATGGTATCTTGCTATAGGAACACGTGACTGACACTGAAATTATTAGTGATGCAACGAATACGAATACAAATATTCGTATTCCGCGAATAGTAGACATTTTCCGAATATTCGCATTCGGCGAACACTGATCACGAATATTTAAAAACTAATATTTTTGTACGCAACTCTAATTACTGGCGGACTTGGATAACGCTCGTCGTCGGCGCTTAAAAAATACGTGTGTGTGTTTTGGCCCTTAGCCTCAACGACGGGGGATTCCCAAAAATATTTTTTACTGAAACTATGTACAGTCGCCTCGGAAAGACTTTTTTCAACGATTGGGAACATCGAAAGTGAAAAAAGAAATCGCCTTAAACCAGAAAATCTACAAATTTTATGTTTTTTAAATAAATATTTGCCTATTGTAAATTTTAATTACTAGAACAATAGAAAATCATCAATTAAATTAGTTTTTTATTACCATGGCGAGATATTCGTATTCGTATTCGCCGAATAATAGGTTTGATATTCGTATTCGTATTCGTAAAAGTAGTATTCGTTGCATCACTAGAAATTATATTTGTTTCACAGAAGAGGGCCATAAGAGCAATCTATGATTTAAAAGCTAAAGAGTCGCTCTGAAAAAATTTAAGGAAATTAATTTATTAAGAGTTGATCGCTACCAAGCTATTTCTAATTTGTTTTGTGTTGTTAATTGTGTAACATACATGATTGTAAGCTGTTTTTTTAAAGTCCCGCTGGGTTTCTTGCTGGTTCTTCCCAGGACAGAGGTTTTTTGTTCTGAGCCAGTGCAGTGGTAATTAAACAAAAAGTGACTCAATAAGTATTATTTATAATCTATTGAATAAAAAAGTTTTTGTTAATGTTTCTGTTTCTGTTCTATTTTAACACAATCTTTTTTTAGTATATTCTCAGCTATGTCATTCCTTTAATGTGACTATTTGATATTAACAAATATTTAAACGAACTTTTATTTTTCGTAAGTATATATTGTACTTTTCAGCCACATGAGGGGGAGTTTATTTGAATTTTTACAGATATCTCTACACAGAATTATCAATGAGCCGAAAAAAATGATATCACGCCATACGTCCCCCACCTATACGAATAGTGACCGGGAGGCGATCATTGAAGCGAACACCATGGCCATACCTAAAAACAGCTCTCCAATACTCGATCCCCATAAAAAAATCGATGTCAGCACCAAAAGTAGTCCCATCGCCGTAGTTGCTGATGGAGAAGTCGTGGTGTTCGACGATAATGACGACTGGAAAGGTAAATTTAAATTTTAACTTTTAAACATGGTGTACATAAAAATCATATTTTTTTCATTTAATAAGTGAGATAAAATTAGTGTCACGTTACTGTACGGTCTATCTATGGATACTTATACATAATATAAATATACTATTTAATTGTATGGGAATACTTAATTAGACAACCAGATTTAGCTTCAATGTTATAATATCTTTTACCTCAAATATTTTTACTCGTATCTCTAAATCAACCGTACGTACCAAGATTTATTAGAAAACGATTGTAGTGGGCCATGGGCCACAGTATCATTTACAATCAATTGAAATGTGTATTCATTTATTACCCTTACTTGCATAATTAAATTTTGCTATCCTAAAATCGGTGGAATATACCATTTTAAAATTTTACTTAAATATAGCCGATGAACGGAGGCAGCGTAAGCATTTACGGCGTGAGATGTGAACGAGTACTACAACAGTCAATTATTATCTGTATGTACTATATCATTAACAATGTGGTACTACCATCATTAAATTTCGCGATTACAAATAATCCTACCAACTTGGAACTTGGCCCATGTCAACCCAGTTTTAGACTGAGTCTATATATTAATATTTTGTATATTTCCGTAAACCCAACGTTAATTGATATCTAACGTTGCGTGAAAATCTCCCTATAGCGCCCGTTAATTTTAAGCTTAGGGTAAAATGAAGCGGCTCAAACTTCATTAAGCCATCGTAAATTCTATTAAATGAATACAGCACGATCCTCGGGAGACTGTGCAAACATAATTTATAATAGTGTTATCCTTTCGGATTTATATTCTCATATACGGTTATGTTGTGATCGAAAGTCATCAAAACTAATAATGGCAAATTTAACGTAATCCAAAATCAAATATGTGTTATAAATTTGTTATTAAAATAAAATAAAAATTTGGATCACCGTTAAAGCCTATTAAATTCCACTGCTGAACATAGATTCGCCTCCTTAGATTCAATAGCGGTGATATTTGCCATAGTTGCCAGGCTTGGCAAGCGGGTTGGCCAAAGCAGTTTTTTGCTGCTGCCTATCTCCTGATTTGATCCCTCTGCACCTCTAACGACACCCACATTCCGTTGTAGGGAGGATTAGCCTTAAGCGTCACGATTGTCAGGCAAATTGACGATCGATGTACAAGACGTCTTGCACATTTAACGATTGATTAAAATTGTTAGTATTATTCATCGATCACTAATAAAAAACTAGATACACAATCCCATGCAAAAGTTCTCTAAAAACTGTCTCCAATTGTTTTGACGTAATTCTAGTTGAAATAAAAATACACTAATGTAAATTCAACCTTAAATGCATTGTCTAAAGTTGTATTCACAAAGCTATGTACAATATAAAAGCGCACCCAAATGTTCCAGTGGGTGCTCATTCGACAAGGACATTTTTGTCACTGTGATTGTGTATCTAGTTTTTTATTAGTAATCGATGGTACCATTAGACTTAAGATATTGTCGTAAGTTTAATTCTGTTGATTTTTTAAAATATTGTTCATATTTTATTTTTTGTTAATTAAGCCTGTATTTATATCTTGCTGAAAAGATGTTTCTTTTTTTTTCTTTCAAACAGCAATCTTAAACTATATCGATTTAAAAAAAAACACCGCCACCTCATTTCTTTCATCCCTTCGACCGCATTCATAAAACAATTTTTTCTCTCCTTTTATTTTCAGTGATATTGAATTCTGTGTCCTTAGGTTTGAGGATGGAACCAGAAGCGAGTGACGATGATATTGATACAAGTGTTAAACGAACTTTAGATTGTATGAAGAATGGTGACAGTGAGGTGATGAACAATAAAAGTGAACTGAGTGATGAGAGTGAGTCGTCGCCCTCTAGGGAGGACGTTAGGATGAGTGAGGGTAGCCCCAGTGGTGTTTGGTTGTCGGGTGATGAGGATAAGAACAGGGTCACTAGGGTGATAGGCGAGCTGCCGATAGCGGAGTACGAGGGCTCGCCGAGGAGGTACGGTGTCGGAACTCAGAAGACCAGTAACAGATCGCCGAGGCCAGGGTTTCCACAGGTCGGTATATTATAAGCGTTCTCATTTCATTGTCAATGCACTAGGTGATGCCGTGCATGCACGTACATAAAATATGTATAGAGAGGGTGTTGCGAGCTAGAGCTACACTCACCAAACATAATTCTAACATTTTCTCAACCCTAAAGCCCTACAGCTTGTACAATCAATTCAAATAAATCATTAGTTATGCATTCCTTCTTACGTAAAGGCACTCGTTTGCTATATTTACGATATGATTCTTGTATTTTTATTATACTTGTATTTATATTGTATCACACAAACGCAAATAAATTACTTACAGTCAAGTCTGGTAACTTTACCAATGGATGTTAACTTTGCCATCAGTGATGTACTGGTACAAAATTACGATTAACACGGAAAACTGAACGCTTTTTCGAAATAAGCCATTTTTTTTAAAATATAAGAAATATTTAGTTTTATTTAACACATATAGTATTCGTCGTAAATATAAGAAATCAAAATTAAGTTGTTTCCTACTCGGGCCCAACTCACTGACCGCGTGCTTGTATAAAGAGGTCAGTGACTCAACCAGTGTGTTTTGGCCCTCTAACACATTGTAGAGAATGGCAGAAGGTTATCTCTTTGTTTTTTGTTGATTACCCACAGCTCATCAATAATCTCGGCTCCGTGACGCAATGGCTTAGCAATGAGTTGTTGCGCTGGGGGCCGCGGGTTCGAATCCCGCACGGAACAAGTATTTGTATGGCCTACAAATAATTGTTCCGGGTCTGGATGTCTGTCCTCGTGCTGTTTGTAAATTGCCTCCATGATACAGGAGAAAATCCTAGTGTGGGGGGTATCGGTTTTTTTTTAAAAAATCTACTGTTAAACGTAGGTCTGCCCCGTGAATTGCCTTATAAGGGAGATTTCGCTACGCTCAGCAGGCAGGTTGGCAACCACATTTTTTTATTATGTTATCAGGAAGATGCTCCTGCCCATATTCCATTTCAGTTTCCCTCTGCCGCCTCTTACGACACCCACGGCTGATATGGAATAGTAAATTCTCCGACGCCGCCACTACAGATTTCGGATTAATATAATAATTATATATTAATATAATAATAGATTAATAATAATTATATACAATTTCTCTAGCTGGAAAATATTTTGTATAATACACAATAAAAAGGGGCAAGTTATGACCGTTCTTTGTGAAAATCTCTGGTTTACTAGTGGGGTCATGGTGTTTTGTGATGATGAAAATTATGGTACTGATATCGTGCCAATCCTTGTCGTTTTTCATTTTCATCTGCCTTTAAAGAAGATGTTATCTCTTCCAGAGGGTTGTAACGGAGAGTCGGGAAGTGTCCCCACCGCCCAGTTCCGCCTTCGATTACCTTTACGAGTTCTCGGAGACTCGCAAGGTATTGGAGGAATTTTTCCGTTGTCCTGCAGTACCTGGACATACTCAGCTTAGCACTAATGACGAGATTGTCAACTTTCAGGTGAGAGTACCAGCATTAATTTCATTTCGATGTATTAGTGATTACTAAACCTTAAATAAGATTTTTTGATTTGTTTTTACGTAATAAAGTCATGAGGCAAAAATAAGTTCGACTCAAGCAGTGGCCGTGAAGTATACCACTTCACTACACGTATGCTGAGACTGAAATAACGTCTATGAGATCCGGAGATACTTTTTAATGGCCCTAGTACCATTTTAGTGGACACGATAGGACTGAAAACGCACATGGAGACTATGCAAAGGCATCCTGTATAAGTTTATAAATATGACAAATGTTATTTAAAGTTTGTGTCCATGGACTTCAGTAGCCGATTACCATCAGGTGGACTATGACACTATAAGACTGAAACTAACATTAGAGTGGCAAGCGGGTTACTTTTGTCACTTTAATATTATTAAAAAAAAAAACAATCTTCTTTTCATCAACACGTAAAATTCTACTTCTAGACGTGTCACCTCTTCTGATGTAGAGAGAATTTGCGTTGATCGTTTCTCTTGGTGGATCAGGTGGATTGACCATCGCAATACCAGATGTATCTCGTAAGTGAAGCCGCTTCGCTTATTTTAATACAAGCCGTTTAAAAAGTTGTGTTTCTCATTTCAGGATTTGGACTATGAGTTGAGACGTCAGACTCAAGACTGCACATCAGAGAATGGCATTGAAGAGTGCAGCGATACCGAATGGCCGCAGATCACGGACACCCTGGATTCTCCTCACGCCGCTCATAATCACACTGATTTCTTAGGACTGCAGGTATTGTAGCCGTTATTTCACTGTCACCGTGTAGTGACAATGTAAGAATATTCTCTATCCCATATCGTAGCGTGGGTGTCGTAAGAGGCGATAGAGGGAAACAAACCAGATGGTCAGCAGCGTCTCCCTAATAACAACTAAAAAAAATGTCCAGAAGTTAACTTTAAGACAATGGTAAGGCTGTTTCATTTTATTGATAAATACCATGTGATATCGAGATAATTGTCAATAAACAAACATATTATGATTTGTTAAATTTTATATGAGCGTGTCCATTTAACATACTATTGCGCCATTTAATCAATAATAAAAGTTAGGCCAAGTTGGTTATTAGTCCTAACATTTGTTCCTAGGTACTTATACAGGATCTGAAACTTCAGTTGAATTTTAGTCTAAACTCTAATCATCCAGTAAATAATGCTTGAAATTTATTAAAGACATTTTATACCTTCCGAAAATAATCATATTAATTTAGGTATTATTTGGAGTATAAAATACTCCAAATAATACCTAAATAATATGATTATTTTCGGAAGGTGGCGCCATCTATTGTCACGATTCATTAGCTGATCGTAATGCTTCATTTTGTCAATAGATCATTGAAATGTAAATTAGATGTTATTAATAATACTTAATTTACCGTATGATAGATATAAAATATATATACATTCTTGAGAATATCTAAAGTTAAAAAAAAAACAAAATAAGGAATGTTTTATTAATTTATTAATTTTATTTATGCAAATATTAGTGGCATTCTAATAAAACTTAAGAATAAACTAGCTTTAGCTTCTTATAGATCAACGTAAGTTCGCCTCCGCCGTATAATTTATTTAAACTCTTAATAAATTTAAATGCATATGTTATCATTGCAGCATCAAATATCCCGATATCCCGCACCGGATGTGTCCGCACTAAGGGCGGGCGCTCCGGACAGTGGGTCGGGCTCGCCCGCGCCGGTAACGTCCATCCGCGAGCTACGTGACCCACGTGACCTCCGTGATCTCCGTGACACACGTGATACACGTGACCCGCGTGACTTACGCGACTTCCCCGACTCCCGTGAGCTCCGCGATCAGCGTGATCAGCTCGATCAGCTTGACACGCGTGACCAACGGCTGCCTTTCACGGTGTCGTCGGCTGCCAGTGACTCGGCCAGCGATCTTTCGCTCGCTATAATGGAGAGTGAGCTGTCTGATATGAAAGGTGCCTTTTGTTTTTATGTATTAATTATGTATATACGGCAAATACCTTATCGTCATATTCATTACAGCTTTACGTCACAAGGAATGCCACAAAGAAAAAAAATTGCCGATAATGGGGACTGCCGACAAAAAGAAATACTTAAAACTGTAAAATGTGTGAAACAGTGTTTTTTTTTTATAATTGCAAATTAAATACAAGTAAAATCTGTACTGCTGTCAGAGAACAACACGTTATACTTATAGATACAGATTTACTGCTATTACAGCATTCGAGGGTGACACCGAAAGTTCTTAGAAAATAACTTTATTAAAAAAAGTGTCAACTTACATCAGTAGCCGAAGTTTTTCTTTTATTTTCGGAGATAAATAAAAATCGCAAGGTGCGAGGTCGGGGCTATAGGGCGGGTGACCCAGTAATTCCACGTCTGACGTCGCCAAGTAGTCGATTGTTTGCTTGGCGGTGTGCGGACGAGGCGTTGTCGTGGTGAAGGAGGATCCTACTGCGAGGTCGTTTCCCCCGAACTTTTTCCAAGCCAAGTGGCAAACAATTGTTAGTGTACCACTCTGCAGTAACTGTTTTTCGATCCTCTAAACAATTGTTGCGTAATGACCTGTCCTTCCGAAGAACGAGGCCACCATCTTTTTCCCACGCTTCGACCTCCCTTCACGTTCAAAATTTGAACTTTTGAACAATTTTTTTTCTATAAACTTTCAGTGTCGCCCTCGTATTGATGACGCGAACTCATAAGACTTTACCCATCCCAAAAGGCGTCCAACGCTTAAATGATACGAGCACCACGTCATAGTTATACCTACAGATATACTGTGTCATTACCATGTCGGTAACGCGAACTCATAAAATGTTATCCTTCCAAAAATCGTTCTATAAGCCTAAAGAAGTGTTCATTTCAATTAAATGCATATTTGTCACTACAATCAAAATGTCAGAAAGATATATTAAAAGTAAAGTCAGAAATAAAGAAAGAGCAGTGGTTTATCGTAGAGGTGTACTTACATTTCAAAAAAGTGAAACAGGAGGTGGCTAGCACCATTTATTGATAACAGCTCAAAATAAAAAAAAAACTGCGCTTGTCAACCCGCCTGCCATGCATGGCAACTGTGGCAAATATTTAGCAATTTAGGAAAGAGGCCTATGTTCAGCCGTGGTCTTATTAATTAATGATTGATAATGAAAAAAATTACACGTGTAAATGTAGCCAGATTCAGAACAACTATTTTCAGGTTATAAAAATATAATTGAATGAAATTGCGTGATTTGAACCTACGATCCGCAGTGTAATCCCGTAACCAAACACAGCACTGCCGAACCATCATTAATTCAATCATAAATTATTTTTCGTAAAATTAATAATGATTATCGCCGATTATTGATCCAAGTAATTAAAATCTGCATTACATCGGTCATTTTAGCTGCATCACTAAGTAAGATATATTAATCACAGGCAACATTAACGTGCATCGCTTCACAGGCAACATTGATTGTAATAAGATAAATGTCTAACTTTCGAAACGCGACACTCTACCCATGAAACCCAATAAAAGGCTGATAGACCTCATGAACTCAGACAGATGGCTGTATATCCAGTATACCAGTATACTATAGCACATCTGAAATACCCAGACCGTTGACAAGGAGCAGTGCCTGTGATTGCTTATCCGCCTACCAAGCGTAGTGATTACGACAAATTCGTATGCCTATCGAAAAAGTTTGAAATATTTAGTAAACAAAAGCTGTAAAGATAGGGTTATTATAACATTAGAAAATACATTCTAATAAAAACCCTGAGAATGAAGTGCCGTGGTCGCTATCATGTTATTTATAATGTGTTTTTTTTTATAGAATAAGGGTGACGAACGTGCACACAGTCCACCTGATGGTAAGTGGTTGCTGTAGTCCATAGACATCTACATCTATCCTCGATTACGAATCAAAATGCAGATGCGTTGTCACCCGTGAAGGCTAAGATGGAATGCCTCGGTTCCAGTAAAAAGGGTCTCCGAAACACAGCAGCATTAAGCTGCTATTTTACGCTGGTATTCTGTGAGAACGTGGTCCTTCCCCGGTCGAGCCGATCCATTCGTGCTACAACTATACTACTAATACAGCTGCAGCAGGCTCTACTACGTAAAAATTCTGATCTAATACAATTGTACTACATTGTAAACTATTATAAATTATAATTTAAAAAAAGAGTCGTGTTGAGTTTATTCCTTCCCAGAGAGGTGGTAGAGGTCGTTTCCGAATCAGTTCCAAAAGTATAAATGACTTTCAATAAGTATTACTCATAATCTAGGTTGAATAAGAATTTTTCTATTCTATTCTATTCTATTCTACAATAGAAGAAGCCCATGTACAACTGTAGACCATTATATGCTGATTAGGAAGAGGAACAAAATAAACACTGAAAATTTAATAAAAATGTGTTTCCGTCACTTTGCAGTCCAACTTGAAAGCCGCGTGGTAGTCACGCATCTCCCGATAGTTGAGGATGGACTTTCGTCCGGTCACGCTTCCGACACAGACAATAATAATCAGGTGAGAGAATCTTCTCTTTTTAACCCCCGACGAAAACAGACGGTGCTATACATCGATATATATATATATATATATTTACTACGCACTAGATTTCGCATTCCGAACATTGACTATGTTCAACTGAACTGTACTGCAATCCGTGAAGATTAGTGAATTCCATAAGATAATCATTATTACATTTTATTTAGAAATATGTTTGTTTAGATTAAAATAAGAGTATTTTATATTAAATTCTTGTATTTATTTTATATTAAAGTCTTCGCGCATTCTCGACTTTACTATCTCCCGATTTTTTTGTAATTTGCTTTATGGCTCTGGGTTCTAGCCCTTCTGAGCCTGAACGTTTAATTATCCTTCATAGTACACTGCTTCACAATATGTTGATGCGTCACATTGTGCAGCCTTAGGGAGATTTTGAAGGCAGCTTGAGCCAGCAGGCAGCTGACAGTTGGCGATGGCGATGGTATCTCAAGGCGCCTAAGCAGACAGGACACCTAATTTTAAGAATCACATCACCATCAGAGCACTTGTTTCACCGTTTCCACTAATAGTTCACATGCGTAGACACTTAATACACAAAATTGCACCACTTTTACATATCCATATCCACTTCAAACCATTATTTAAACAGTAATACAGGAGCAGCAAACCGCCGCCGGCAAGTTCCCGCCAAAACACTATCTACCGCGCATGCGCGAAGACATAGATTAGCGTTCAATTTTTGTTTGGAATAGCTTCTCTAGTACGTAGTACATACTCGTATAACTCAATGGTGTTATATGTTTGTAGTGTGTCTGTGTATCTGTGTATCTGTCTGTGGTATTATAGCTCCTGAACGGCTGAACCGATTTTCATTAAGTTTTTTTTTCGTTTGAAAGGTGTCTTGATCGAGAGTATTCTTAGCTGTGTTTCAAGTAAAATCTATTCAGTCGTTGCAGGTCATCAGCTCTTTTTGTTTCGGGGGTTTTCATAATTTTTAATTTACGTTATTAAAGTCCTTTATTTACTTATTATAAGCCACCGCTTGACTACAATTCCACCTGGTGGTAAATGGTGATGGAGCCTTAGATGGTAAACCGTACTGTCTTTATAAATAAATAATAAATGCAGTAATAAAAAGTTACCCATATTGTACACGGTCGGAAAGAGTCATTCTGATTAAGAATAAAGTTTTATGTAAATAATTGTCTAATTTCTGCATTACAGAATTCGTCATTTATAATACACGAGATAGTTGAGAATGGAACCAACACTGACCCACTCATGTTGTCCGACGCTGATCTACACTCACTGGATCCCCTAGGTAAATATTTAAATAGAAATAGTCTAGCCGAAAATTCGTTTCAATAAAAATTATATTTAATTTTGTTTCGACATAGCCCAACGGATTAGTAAGCTGTCGTGGCAATGTGGCGGCCTGGTATCGGTAGACGGAGTGTAGGGCGTCCCCCCACTAGATACGAGTGACGACCTGGTAAGACATGCAGGAAGTCGATGGATGCAGGTGACTCAGGACCGTGCTTTGTGGCATTCCTTGGCATTTATTTTCAGCAATGGACTTGTGAAGGGCTGTAATGATGATGATGATGATGATAATAATAATTTCTTATATTCATTTTCACTTTGTGAAGGTGCATTAGGACTATCAGTTTTAGTTTCTAAAAATTTAAATGAAAATTTAATAAATTCGGACACAGGGTAATGATTATTTTAAAATATTTTATTTATTTTAAATTATAAAAAATGAATAATAATAATTTTTATAATTCCTTTGTTTTATAAAAATTTATTTTGATTTGTTCAAATAATATTTATGATAATTGTATTTATTTTTATAAATTAAGTTTAAATATTAATAATTTTTGTTATTTAAGATATACATACAATAATAGGTTGTGATTCAATTTCTTTTGGTTTAATTTTATTAAAAATGTGAATTTGTATATTAATAAATATAGCAAGAGAATCACTATATAAAATAATGTTTATATTTTTTTATTTATTTATTTATTCTTTATTGCATTCCTTAATTTAAAAGAATACAAAGGGCGGACTTAATGCCTTGTGGCATTCTCTACCAGTCAACCCATGGAGTGGTGAGAATTTGAAGTAGGTGTAGCAATATAGAATAAAAACAAAATAGAAATTTATAATTAATTACGTTATATATACATTTTACTAATATATATAATAAATAAACTATAAAAATATATCCTATTTATACATGTATACAAATACATACGTACATACATAAGCATACATATATTCATACCGATATACATATACAAATAATACATATAAATAACTATAAATATATACGTCTAAAATATAAATGACATGGATGATTCATCTAAGAAGCGTTGTCTTTAACAGATGATTACGCACCAACTTTTTAAAAGCAAACTTATTGGGAGCTTTTCTGATGTCGTTTATATATTTTTTATTAAAAATTATTATTTTATTAACTATATATATATATATATATATATTAACATTTTAAGTATTCATCATTTTGCCCGTAAACGTCGGGAATTAAAAAGGTTTAAATTAAGCGCGATAAAATCGGTAAAATTAATGTTTTGCCAAAATTTATTTATAAACAAATAAAAATTTGAAACTCACTGTTTAAAGAATCGTGGTACCAAAATATATAAAATGTTACACCAACCAAGCAAACATTATAGTAGAGCAATTGTAAACGCCACTTTTAGGTAATAAACTACATACCTACCTACATGATTTTGTTCGCGGTGTCTGATCTAGTACAAAGTAATATCACTTACATGTCTCCCATTTCATTTTCCTCCGTCGCCTCTAACGACTAAGGTTACCAGATTGAAAAAAAGAAAAGTCCTGCCAAATAACCTGGTTTCCATAGAAAAGTCCTGACATTTTTTCCAACGTAATAAACACGAAAAAAAAAACGAAAACGGCGCTATTTATTGGAAAATCGAAAAAAGCCTGACATTTCAAAAATTCGACCATAATGCTGACAAGAAGCCAAAAGTCCTGACATGTCAGAACAAATCCTCATATATAGTATCCCTACTTATGACAGCCACATATCGTCATGTTTTAGATTCAACACTGATTCTTCACTGTCTGTATCTCAACAGCGTGCTCAGCACCGCCGCCGCCAGCGCCGGCGCCGCACCGCTCGCCCGCCGACCACGCGCCTTTAAACGCTCACGTGCCCCACGTGCCCCACGTACCCCACGTGCCCCATGTGCCCCACGTGCCGCACGCGACTCACGTGCCGCACGTCGCGCACGCAGCTCACGTGCCGCACGTGCCGAACACGCCGCACATGCACTCGCCGCACGATGACGTCTACCCTCGGTGAGTTGAATCTTCTAGAATTCTATATATTAATACGTGAAGAGAAAACTTTTAGGTACCCTCTTTCAAGCATATTTCTCAAACTTATTAGTACGAGAGAAGGATAAATTTGTCTATACAAATAAATAAAATTGAAGTGTCTGTTTGTAATGTTAAAATAACAGCTTTTTGCTAAATGCATATGAAAGTATATACAGTACTAATAACAAAAAAAAACAATTTTAAAAAAAAGTCTGTCTGTCTGTTTGTTCCGGCTTATCTCCGAAACGGCTGGACCGATTTTGACCTGACTTTCACTGGCAGATAGCTGATGTTATAAGGAGTAACTTAGGCTACTTATATTTTAGAAAAATAGGGGTTCCGCGCTTAGTTAAAACCCTAAATTACACGCGGGCGAAGTCGCGGAGAACAGCTAGTATATAATATGTGTTACAAATATATTCATCATCATCATTACAGCCTATCAAAAAATCCAGTGTTGAACATAGTCCTCCCTCGTAAGAGAAACACTTGCCATCGTTGCCACGCTTGGCAAGAGGGTTGACAATTGCAGTTTTTTTTTCATTTCATAGTTGTTATCAGGAAGACGCTGCTGCCCATCTTCTGGTTTACGGTAAGGTAATGGATATTCTTACACCGTCACTACATAAAACCTATATTGTTTACGTTCATAATGCCAATGTCAAATACATAACTGTGGCTTGGACAAATTATGTCGGTATGTAGACGTACATACTGCTAATGTCTAAGTACTATGTATTAATTATGTTATTACACTTGGTGTGTAGTCAAACAGTCACACAGAGCTGAATAGAGATTTTAGCTAAAGAATTATGAAATGTTGCCAATAAATAATTACTATTATACAAAATACACTTCCACTAATATTTTTTTATAGAGAACTCATAATAACTAAGAACAATCGCGCTTGGCCATGCTACATAAAGTATTTCAAAGCCTATTAAATTTATCCATCTACCTAATAATTTTCATGTTTTTTTTTCTGTAATTATTGTTATGAAATAAGTGTATAATACGTAAGAAAAAGAATTAAAGTTATTCATCTACCTATATCTATATATGGATAATTTCAGTAAAAGGCCGTCGTCCGCACAAAGTACGGATTCGGTTGAAATAAAACAAGTCAGCGGCGACGAAGGTAAGCTATGATTTTTTAATATATTATTTTATAGGACAGTGTGACAAACGAACACACAGTAAGTGGTTGCTGTGGCCCATAGACATCCACATATATCCTCTATAAAGAATCAAAATGCAGATGCGTTGTCACCCGTGAGGACTAAATTGGAATGCCTCATTTCCAAAAGAAAGGGTCTTCGGTTCTCTACACTTACCATACGAAACACAGCAGTATTAAGCTGCTGTTTTAGGCTGGTATTCTGTGAGAGCGTGGTCCTTCCCCGGTCGAGCCGACCCATTCGTGCTACAACTATACTACTAATATAGCTGCAGCATGGCTCTACCACGTAAAAAATATAAAATATTAATATTTAATAGTGGCAGCCTCGTACCGGTAGGCGAAGTGTAGGGCGTCCCCCCACGAGATGGAGTGACGACCTGGTAAGACATGCAGGAAGTCGATGGATGCAGGTGGCTCAGGACCGTGCTTTGTGGCATTCTTTGGGGGAGGCCTATGTTCAGCAGTGGACTTGTGAAGGGCTGTAATGATGATGATGATGAATATTTAATATGACGTCATAAATCGTCAACCAGTTCGTGCATGTATTCCATTGCTGGATATAGCTAAGGAACGTTAGTTTCTAAATTATAGTTGGACCCGATAGATGGCTCTATAGTAATAATTTATATTTTTACTACATTTTATTGAATTAGAGTTACTGATGTACTATGAAAATTATGAGCGCTCAGCCACAGTACTATTATCTAGGGACAGGCGTTTTCAAAATCGAAAGAATTACCTTGCCTTTAAGCTTGACAATTGGTACTGTAATCATCAAGCTTGCGTTACAACATGCGTTATGGGGAAGAATAGTATATCTAGTTATTTTATTGATTTATAATATCGTATTGTGGCGGCTTATAGTGAGAATATATCATCCCATTTTGTCCCGTGGTGTGGGCGTTGCTTGTAGTGTAGGAACTTCCAGAAAATCTTACGCCTGACGACAGATTTCGATTTAACGAACGTAGAAGACTCAGACTGACGACGAGGAGGAGATTCTGATGTTGTATGTGCTATTTTTAAACTGAAATAACAAACTAACTTACAGTCCACAATGGTAAATGACTACTGTAGCCAATGGACACGTGCAGCAAATTTCAAACAAAGGCTACAGATGCGTTGTCACCTCTGCGGACTGAAATGGAATACCTTGCAGCATACAAATTACATTGGCTCTTTATATCCTTCTGAACGAATCGCAGCAGTGCGAGCACTGTTATTTGGCAGACGGACCCTAGGCAGAAAAGTAAGCAGTAACTACCACCTATATCGCCAGCCTAGCATGGCAATTATGGCGAATTCCTTAGTATATCGAGAGAGGTTCAGCATTAGACTTTTATGGGCTTACGAAGAAATAGAAGTATTTTTAAGATGGTTACTTCACCATCAGTCCGGAGATCACAGGATTATCTTGCCTTTTTCTATAACCGTCACCTCGTTAAATACTCACGGTACTATAATAGACTCGCTTACACACCGTTACAAAATAGGTACTGTTAAAAAAAAACTAACAAAGTTTCATGTATAATATTCAACTCGATGACGAATTTACACTGACGGAAGTTTATTTATTAATTAATAATTTAATAATTTTCACCGGTTCTTTTTACAAGTCGTTTAGTTAATAATAATAAATTAAACGAATTTGTAACTTCATTTCAGACGAAGCTGACACTGATTTGGAGACTGACAGATTGTTAGGACAGCAGAGGACGGACGACCAGGGCTTCTTTGATGATAAAGTAAGTGTAAAACATGATATAGGTACATACATTTAGAGAATATTTTATGCTTTAATAACTAACGGGGTTTCTAATATCTCAACTTAAAGGTTTTTTTTTTTTAGTTTTATATAAGTATTTATTTTAAAAACATAATAACAGCTTAAACGCAACAACAGTAAAAATAATTTCCATATAGACGCATTGGAGAAATAATTACGCTCTAATAGTTACTTAATATCTCCTAGTGTCACAAAGGGCTCCTCTCATTTCTGATAGCATTATATTCCATTAGTGTTACATTCTTTTAGTGTTAGTCCGCCGCGGTGTCCCAGCGACTGTTGGCATTTATCACAACATGTTCTCAAATTATTTTCTTCCTCACGATGTTTTCCTTCATTGCCAAACACGTGGTTAGTTTCCACTTAAGGCGCAGGTTGAGCAAAATGTCGCGCTAGTCGTTATTTGTGCGGTTTTTAGAAGCTATCTACTTTTTATTTAAAAGATATATCAACAAATAAAAAACACATTATATTTCTACATAATCTTGATTCCATAAAAGCTATATCCAACTTTTTTTAAAACGAATAAATATTAATATAATCTCCTTACAACGAAACCACATAAATGTGAAATTATTATTGATTACATGGATCTCCTCGTAAAGTAAGTATTATTTTATTTTGCGATTTACACCAATGGATAGACAATTTATTAATAAACATTTCTATAGTAATTTTTTTTTCAAAAGACTAAAATTTGATTTTATTAAGAAATTATTTTAAAATCTGGGCATATTCACTGCTCACGGGCTTGCTAGAGTCAGTGAGCCCTGAGCTCTTCGACGCGAAGCCCGTGTCGTTAGAGCGTCGACCAGCGCCGCATACACTCACGTAATATCAGTCGATAAATAATATTACTTATTAGGTTATTTATAGGTAGTATTATTTGTTTGTTTTGGGTATAATTTTTCGTATTAGTTATACATATATTTGTTGTGTTTTTTACTGCGCTATGAAGCTTTTTGCGTGTATTTTCTTTGAAGTAAATGCAAATAAAAAAATTAAGCACCATTGGCATGTAAGGTTCGAATCCATAATTAAAATTTCGATAAATATTATAATTTACACTATAAAAGGCTAATTCAATATTATCACCCAACCACAATATCTTATTACGTACAGTACTGCCTCGTTGGTCTAGTGGTTGTAGTAGTGCGACTGCTGATCATTAGGTCCCGGGTTCGAATCCTGGGTCGGACCCTGTCAGTTATGAGTTTTTCATTTATGTTCTAAGTTATAATTAGTATTACTAAGTTATAGTTTTTTGCTAAAATATAGTATATTATTTATTGCTTGTTTTTTCTTCTTTTTCAAAAAATAATTGAGTACATAAGGTGTTCTATACTTATAATTCGGTAAAAAGTATCTAAGTAGGTACTAATATACCTACTTTTTACTACTAAAAATTTTTAAAACTAAATTTAACTAAAAAGACTAAACTGACCATTTATTTTTTAACTCAAAACAGGACATGGGTTTATTTATACTCTAAAAACTATAACTTTATACAATTAGTGTTCACTGTAAAATTATATTCGGTATAGACGGTAATTATTAAATGCAACATATTTTTCTTAATTATTAATTACATTTGTCAGTGGATTAAATTTTCTTTAATAAAGTTGGTGATGATTTTAAATAAAAATAAAATTCTGCTCAAGTTTTTTTATTGTTATCTTTGTTAACAACATCGCCTTTAGAACTCTGGAACCGTAAGTGTTTCTTTCAGACGTCCACAATTTATTCAAAATAAAAAAAATACTCTTTCTACCGGAGCATTCGTAGCAGGTAGACATAAAATATATTCGATTAAAAAAAATTATGTTGAAGATTGTTGACTTTGAATACTTCCATCCAACGAGTTACGGGACAATTTTGTGTCCCGGAGCTTTGTTTGGGGACAATGGGACAGGTGACCGAGAAAAGGGACAGTCCCGTTCAAAACGGGACGTGTGGTCACTTTAGCTATAACCCGGCGACGGCTACGTGGGGCAGTGGCTTAGCAATTAGTTGTTGCGCTGGGGGCCGCGGGTTCGAATCCCGCACGGAACAAGTATTTGTATGGCTTACAAATAATTGTTCCGGGTCTGGATGTTTGTCCTTGTGCAATTTATGTTTGTAAACTGCCTCCACGACACAGGAGAAAATCCTAGTGTGGGGGTAACGTTTTTTTACAATTGAAATTGAAAGATTGAACCCTTATACTTCTTGTTGATTTTTGTATTAGTACTCGTAGTTAGGTATATTACTTTTCAATACGTGACACGTAAAAATTAACAATAATCAAAAACACATCTACGAAACATCCTATTTATTTATTTATTCTTTCTTGCACCAAATATTTGTACAAAAGGCGAGCTATATATTTATTTACCTATAGTGAATAGGTATCTTTTAAACTCACAATTTTCAATGCTTCATTTTTAATATATAATTAATTATAAAATTTCATAATTAGATAATATATGAAAATACATAATTCTAATATAATGCAACTAATATACCGAATAAAAAAATTAAAATACATTTATCGTTGTACGCTGTGTGTATTTCCATAAATTAGTTCATTGATGTTGAAAAAATAATACTACGTTCGTACCTACAATAGGTGGTGGCGTCGTACATATTTCAAATAAGCAATATATTGAGGCGAGCGGCGTGCCGCCGGCAAAATGCTCAAGGTCGTTCGCATGGAGTAGCCCCTTAATTTGCAATTGACAATCAGTGATGCCTGCAGAAATCGCAACTGATTTCACAAGATATGAAATTTTAGGATAGGCGCTTCTCTGAAATGTTAGTACTCTCTAAAATATATAAATCACATGGGCATTATATAGGTATAACAATAAATAATTGAAATAGAAATCGAAGAATATTTTAGTTATGAATATGATAAAGTTATTATAATATATTTGTTTATAAACACGCTTATTTAATATTACAGAAATCGACATCGATTTAAATTAGAATAATAAACCGAATAAAACTATTAAAAAAGTTAAAAAGAAAATAATTACTACTTATTTTAATATCCTCTGAAGTCAGTAAAGACTTCAGAAGCTATCAAATATGTCAAAATATTTTATTTCTAGTCGGTTTTTCCTTTTTTTTTCAAGTTTTATTATTTGACCTTTTTGAGTTGCAATATCACAAGTTCAGGGTAACAACTAGAATTTCATCTAAATTATTCCTTAAAAATATTCATAATCTATTTTTTTTTTGTGTATTTTTTTCTTCAAATTTTAATGATAAGATATTGTAATTTCAAACCAATAAGTCTATTAAAAATTATATAAAGTATACGATCAAATGTATTTTCTGCTTCAAACTGTTTTCCAAGTTCTTTAATCCAAGCGTATAATGCTTTGTAATAAAAAAAGAAACTGAAAACTAAGTACTTAACTCTACAGTGTTAACACATTATCAGGTGAATCATTCTATATAAAGTACTAGTCGACGCGTGTGCAATCAAAATTTATTCATACGACCTTGCTCTCTAATTATAATTGCATCAAAGATTACACAACTTCGGTGTGTCGATTGATTCTAATATGAGTTGAAACTCTCGGAGGAAATTGTACGGTTTTATATTAATTAAATTTATATGTTAAATAAAATTGCTTTATGCAAATTACATTATAAAATGATAATTATAATATTTATAATATAATTATAAGTTTTAGTACATCAAAAATGAATTGAACAAGTTATATGTCACTAAACAAAAACCTAACAACTTCTTTTCTTATTTATTATTATACCATTTAAGTAATACAATAAAAATTGAATTAGGTCTAAAATGTTAAATATCGATGCTTAATTGCACGTGGATTATTCTTTGACGCAACATGATGTTGTGTTGACTCGCCTTAGACCGACGGCGGCCAGTCATTATCATAACGCGTCGTGACCATATGTGCGTGTTTACTTAGCGATAACACCTTTATTGCCGGGGAAACTGACCAAGCTGTCTGATAGTCGTTTATTGACGTATAGTAATGTTCATACATTCGCGTTAAGCGATGCGTAATAACAAAGAAAAAATTCCTGGTGTTTCATTTAGAAATGAGTGAAGAAACAAATTGTTTAGTGATAAATAATGAAGACAATTGTAAATATATGGATATAAATGCCAATAATACTGAATCTAATTCTGACGTTGTGCGTGATAAAAATAGTGAAGTTCTGCGTGTAAATAAACATAATAACGATGTTACTGATGTGAATGATAATAAAGAATGTCTCGATTTAGAAGGAAGTGTTAATATTTGTGAGTGCTCGAAAGAATTGCCTACTAAAACAAATTTTAAGTTATGTGATAGAACAGCCCTTGATAGTGATAAAATCTTGCACGATGGGAAAGATCTTAAGGAAGGAAATGCGGAGGTATTTTCCTCATTTTTGTAATAAAAAATACTAGTTACGCAAGCATTTAAAATTAATAAATTATATTAAAGCAGGTAATTTAGGTAAACCAGGAAACTTTTGCGCTCATATATTGATGATATTTATTTCTCATTTTATTTGACCTTGCAAACTCAAGTGTCAAATGGAAATTTATTCAAAAACATAAAAAGACAATGCATAGTCAATGAAGCTTAGTATTTATACAGTCTTAAAAATAATTTTAATGTGCAGGTCAAATTTGTGATAAAAACAAATAATAGTATAAAATAAACTAAAAAAACACACTTTCGTACATAACCGAACTAAAAATTATAAAATAATTTTTAATAAATTGAAAATAAGAAAATAGTGATTAACATAAAATAATAACTTTATTGTAAAAAAGCGTGGGGTGCTTTTTCAGATATTTTTATGATGACGCTAATTTTACAAATATCCACACTGACGCTCACCTCCGCAGCTTGGGCTTATTGGACGCCTTTGGCCACCAGCTCCAGTCTCTACGGCTCGTACAGATGCCTGCGATTTGCCATAGCGGGCGGGGTCTGCTCTCCCTACGCGCCTACGGCTTTACAAAAACACTAGGGGTAGGGCAGACGCGACTACGTAGAGTCTGGGCGTTCTGATTTGGTTTTAGTACAGATTCGTTCATACCTTATAGTAACGTAATGGTGGTCCTGGACCCAATAATTCCCAGAATATTACCGTCATCTACATCCGACCTCAATAATCTTTTAGAACTTAATTAGCACTTAATTCCTTGCTATTAATATTTATCTTAAGACAATATTTATCTTAAGAGTAAGACAGGGTGACGTCATATTCCCGAAACTCTTTACCGCTGCATTGGAAGATGTTTTCAAGCTTCTGGACTGGAAAGGATACGGTATCAACATCAATGGCGAGTACATCACTCACCTTCGATTTGCCGACGATATAGTCCTTATGGCAGAATCGCTGGAGGACCTAAGCACTATGCTCAATGACCTCAATAGTGTTTCCCAACGGATAGGTCTTAAGATGAACATGGACAAAACAAAGATCATGTTTAATGTCCATGTCACACCTATGCCGGTAGTTGTTGGGAACACTAAGCTCGAAGTTGTTGACAAGTATGTTTACCTGGGACAAATAGTCCGACTAGGTAAGTCCAACTTCGACCGAGAGGTCAATCGACGGATTCAACTCGGTTGGGCAGCGTTCGGGAAATTACGGCACATCTTCTCGTCAGGTATACCTCAAAACTTGAAAACGAGACTGTACACCCAGTGCGTGTTGCCAGTGATGACATACGGAACTGAGACGTGGTCCTTCACTGCTGGCCGGATGAGGAAGCTCAAGGTCGCTCAGCGAGCTATGGAGAGGGCTATGCTCGGAGTTTCTCTGCGTGATAAACTCAGAAATGAGGATATCCGCAGTAGAACTAGAGTGACCGACATAGCCCAACGGATTAGTAAGCTGAAGTGGCAATGGGCCGGCCATATAGCTCGAAGAACCGACAACCGATGGGGAAGAAAGGTTCTCGAGTGGCAGCCTCGTACCGGCAGGCGAAGTGTAGGGCGTCCCCCCACTAGATGGAGTGACGACCTGGTAAGATATGCAGGAAGTCGATGGATGCAGGTGGCTCAGGACCGTGCTTTGTGGCATTCTTTGGGGGAGGCCTATGTTCAGCAGTGGACTTGTGAAGAGCTGTAATGATGATGATGAATATTTATCTTATATCTAATCACTTCATTGCGTTGCTAGCGATACGTTTTGCCAGCAACGCAAATTTCAACATTTCGTTGCGATGACATTTTTAGAGCCTAACTTTTAAACTTGACTTTGCGTTGCTGGCGAGACACAGCTCAATAAAATACAGCAAGCACCCCACGCTTTTTTACAATAAAATGATTTTTTAAGTTAATCACTATTTTGAAATCATTTTCTATTTTTTAGTTCGGTTATCAATTACAAAAGCGAGTTTTTTTTTTTAATTTTTTGAAAATATTATTTATTTTGAATTTTTGTTTTAAATGAAAATTACATTCAAAAATTCCGTTACATAGATACATACCAAGCTAATAAAATCGTGTTAATTTCGTTAACTATTGATTACAGCTTCTCAAAAGACCATAGATTGCTTCATGGGCAATAATAGAAATGTTTGCTATAGTTGTCACTTGGGTTTACAACCGTAGTTTTTTATAATTTTATATTGTATTTAGGAAGATGCAGCTGTCCATTTCTCGTACATTTCGCTCCCGCTTCAACACCCACGAATTGGTATAGAGTAGTGAATTTTCTTACGCCGCAACTTCGCAGCGAAATTATTATGTAAACACATCAACACGGTACATATATAGGGATATTTTAACAACACATGCCTTCCAAAGACTACCATGGCCGTATGTGAACGGACATTGTCGTGCATAACAACGCTGAAATATCGCCGTACCAGAGGAGACCTTATTGAGACCTACAAAATGTTAACCCATAAATAGAGTATATAATAAATAAACAGAGCTGCCACATTTTTTTAACATCAGCTGTATCCACCGAGCTAGACATCCTAACTATATGAGATTGGCTTACGGTAGTCGAATCATAACTGAGTACATAATGAGTAGTAGAGTCGTACCCGCTCATACACTAATGTGAGACATCACACACTAAACAACAGAATCATAAACATATGGAACATGTTGCTTTAAGATCAAGACGTCGTAGATGCTCCCTCTGTGATTAGTTTTAAAAACAAACTGGACAAATGGTGCAAAGACAATCCAATTTGATGTATCTTAGTGTGGACTTGGACTAATATAAAACACCAACACAGATATAGGTATATCAGCTATTAGCTGCTCGCCTATAACTACATAATAATAATAAGCAGGAAATTTTAACCCATTGTGTGTTCAATGTAGCAAGACTATTGGTTTTAGCACCTCATTACGGTATTTTCAGCCGTCATAGTGCCCTGTATCGAAACAAGGTCCGTTCTTCCACCAAAATGAATTCGTTTCCACACCGTAATTGTACCACCTTGGTATGGATGAACATCTCGAGGGTATTGAAGCCAACTTGTACGACCAGGAACTCTCCGAATATGTACACTTCTCGAATCAGGATGAAAACCAAATCGGGATTCATCGGTGAAGAACACCAACGACCATTGATGAGGTCCCCAGTTCAAATGTTCTGTAGCCCATTGCAGTCTTCGTCCACGATTTGTTCGTCTTAGAGCTGGAACCCATAGTGATCTAAGAGCATTCGTGCAGTTTCCCTCTCACATTTTGGTCACACGCAAGTACCTGGTGTTTCGACTGTAGCCTTTGGACCAATTGCATCGCCGTACCTTTTGGTGGCCTTCCCGCAGCAATTTGCAAAAAACGGTCTTGCCTGGGTATAGTATTGTGGCTTGGTCCTGGATATCTGTCCGCCACCTCCCCCGTCGCACGATACTCAAAATCATATTTTACCTATCGCCTATTGCCGCAGCGCCGTCACGTTGAAAAGCACCAGCCTGCAGCATTCCCACTGCTCTTAACATCTCTTCTCCAGTTAAATGTCGACGTTGCATTACAATAAAATGTCAAATTATTACAAACAACCCAAGTTGTTTATTTAAATAGCGGTTTCCAATAAAAAAAATTTAGAATTACTCTGAGTACTAAATTCGTTCCCTCTAGTTCAACTTAATTTTTACCGCCAACACATTTTTTATTTAAATTTAGAATCATTCTAGAATAAAAATGACGAACAATTTGATATTAATAATATTTTAAGGTGGCCAGTACTTTTTTAGTTGGTCAATTTAAGTTGGAGTGGCTGCACCTAATGCTAGCCACGGCCCGGATACCATACTTTTCACCTTTTCGCTTATGTGCTCGCAAGTGACTAGCATAGCCGATCTTATCGAGAAAAGTGAGAAAATTGACGTTAGACGTCAGCGGTAAGGAAGTTAAGATCAATTCGTTTATGTTATAAAATTGGTTTTTCAGTTGAAAGTTTAGCAAAAGATGTGGTTGGTTTTCTATCAGAGATGTGTTGTATTTATGGAAAACACCTTACCTACGTTTTCATTATTTTTTTTTTAAATAATAATTATATTTTTTAACAAAATGTAAAAACCGACTTCAAATTGCTTAAAAAGAAGTTATTTATTTGCTACTCTTAGGGAAGGAATTTTTTTCCAAATTTATATGGGACCACCCTTAAGGTATGACCTATTTAATAAAAAAACGATTCATCAAAATTGTTTCACAATCCACGAATCCGCGACATCGTGTAACATAAGGTCAGGCGGGGCAAGGGCGCCATATTTTTTGCATAGATGATTTCGATGCAAAATATTTTTTTTGAATGCTGACTTATGAGTGAACATTTATTAAATTGTCAATATTTGGAATTTTGTAGCTGCAAGAAACGTCGATTCAATCAAATCAATCAATATTTTTACGATATTTTCTATTAAATTAGAAAACATGGATATAGGCGCACTTGCCCTTAGAAACGGGGAAAGTGCGCCTATATAAAAAAAGACGCTAAAATCGTACGTTACCAGAAAAACAGATAATTTACTTAATAGAACATAAACAAATAAACGCATTACTCTTGGCTTCTTTTTAATTTACTCGTCCTATAGGCTACTACAGCTTCCATAACAAATTTGGGGCAAGTGCGCCGTAGACTAGTAATCAGGGGCACTAAACCTTTAATGCTCTTTTTTTTATAAAAAGTAAAAACTGCTGTATTTAAATAAAAATGTCTGCAGGTTTGGCTGGAATAATAGAGATATTTAATTAATCAAATTAGACTTTTAATTTAAGCATTACGTCTATTTATTAAAAAAAAAATACAAAAGTAGGTAACAATTTTTCCTTTGACGTAATAGGGAGAAGCAAATACTTAGTAATCTAGTGGATGGCACGCAAGAACTTACATGGTAAAGTAAAAAATATTTCAGTCTTTGTTAGGCTTAAATATTTAAACAACATGACGCATTAAAATCAAGCAAAAATAAAAAACAATAACAAAAAATAATCTAATGTCAGTAATCTAAGTACTTAAATACTTAGTAAAATCGTGTAAATCTTTGTTAACTTTGGTCCAAATTATAACTATCACCTAAAAGACTAACAAAAAAATATAAAACAAATATCTCCAAAAATCTTATTATAATAAATAGTAAGAACTTACTGTAAATTAAATTTACCGATATTAATACTGAAGGATATTTGGCCACGACGTGTTATTGTGGGTTTCGGCAAAACTGACACAATATCTGCAACATGTTTCAACTCACATATGTCGTCCACATTAGGATAGACAAAAAGCAAACCTCTTTGTTTTGTTTGAGTTTTTCGTACGTATTTTATCACTGGAATGCCATCATTAATATTAATAATTTGCCCTACATAATGTTTTACACTTTTTTTTGACGAAAACTTGACTAGAACCCAATCATCATCATCATCATTACAGCCCTTCACAAGTCCACTGCTGAACATAGGCCTCCCCCAAAGAATGCCACAAAGCACGGTCCTGAGCCACCTGCATCCATCGACTTCCTGCATATCTTACCAGGTCGTCACTCCATCTAGTGGGGGGACGCCCTACACTTCGCCTGCCGGTACGAGGCTGCCACTCGAGAACCTTTCTTCCCCATCGGTTGTCGGTTCTTCGAGCTATATGGCCGGCCCATTGCCACTTCAGCTTACTAATCCGTTGGGCTATGTTGGTCACTCTAGTTCTACTGCGGATATCCTCATTTCTGAGTTTATCACGCAGAGAAACTCCGAGCATAGCCCTCTCCATAGCTCGCTGAGCGACCTTGAGCTTCCTCATCCAATCACCTTTCTTTAATTTGTTTGATGTATTTTCATAATACTCGATATCGGTGAGTCCAAAATCCGTATATACGTTTTCTTCATCATCTGATTTATATTCTGTTAGGTAAATATTACGGTAACTTTCTAGGTCCATATCTGAACCATCTGAATCATGAATCGTAAAGTCACTGTCTTCTTCTAAATCTTCTTCTATCTTAATTTTATTTTGCTTTTTTTTCGTTTTTATTTTGATGGGATTGTTTTGTTTTTCATATTTAATTTTTTTTGAAGTATGTATCTGTAAAGTAAAGTCTGCTGGTCGTTTCATTTTATGTCCTGTAAAAATATCTTTGGTCAGTTTTTCATCAAATTTTAAATATCTGTCTTCTAAAATAGCAATTTTTGGTTTTGAAGTCAGGGGCGGTGGTGATTTTGAGGAGCCTGCAAGGCAATTAAGTATTGAAAAAATGAATTGGGTCACGGACGTTCAAGTCTGAATTAGGTGATATTATTTCAGAAAGAGTTACTTCCGAGCTTGGTGGGTCAGTAACATACGATTGTTTATTTTTTGTCAGTCTTATATTTTTACTCTTTTCGTCAATTTTCTTTACTTTTACTTTATCAATTTTCTCATTTTGTTTACTTATTATAACTTTCTTTTTTTGCTCTCGTTGCTTTCGTTTTTCATCTTTTTCTTGTTCTTTTTTGACTTTATCGTCTTCCTTCTGTTTCAATCTTTCAATGACGTCATGATGCGTTATCACCTCTGCACTTGCGGAAATTTTAACTATCTTTTTCTTGACATTGGCAGTTTGCGATTGTTTGGTAGATTTTATTAATAAATCTTCAAAAGATATTTTCTCAGAAGATTTTGAACTAACGATTTTTGGCAAAATGGTGACTAGATTCGAGTTTAATTTAATACAAGAGTTAATTTTATTCCGGCATAATTTGGTTAAGGTTAGTGGTGAACTACGAGCGAGTGTTTGTTTTTTCGATAAGGTTTCATGGTGTTTTTTCCATCGTTTTAGGACTTCTGGGTCTAGTTTATATTCCGTTACAGCTTTTCTGTTAAATGGATAAATTCCGCTTTTTTCGAACCCTTTTTTTATAACATTGGAATTAAGATTTTTCCAAACTCTTCCCACTATCGCTGAAAATTGATCCTTAGGTAACTTTTCGCCCTTATGTGTGCGTTGCCATTTAACCATTTCCTGATCCCAAGCGTCTTTATAAGGTTTGAATACGCTTAGATCAAGTGGTTGAAGAAGGTGACTTGTGTGTGGTGGCAATTTAATAATGGTGATATTATTTTGTTTCGCCATTTTGACCACAGCCAGTTGCACGTGCGTGCTATGACCATCATAAATTAGGAGGGTTGGCTCTTTCTCATCTTTGACCATGGGAATGAAACTTTTTGCCATAAACTCTGCAAAAACTTCGGATTCAATCCAACCATTGGATGTCGCACTGTATAAAGTGCCAGGATATGCTTCCTCAGATGTCCATCCACTCCACACATGCTTACCTTTGAAAATTATAAATGGAGGCCCTTTGCCTCCAGCTGCATTGCTGGCAACCAAGACGGTTGTGTTTGCTTTACCAGCTGATGATGTTATTCTAGTTGAAGGATAACCCTTTAAGCCGACCACTTTGGTTTTTTGAAGGTCGCTGCAGTAGCTTGTTTCGTCAATATTATATATTCTCTCTGGCTTATTTTCAAGCCCTAGCTCTTTAATAACTTTTTCGACAATGTCGTAAAATTCTTGTATAATGAAAGGGTCAGCCGCTTTTTTACGGGCTATCTCAACTGCTTGAGGTTTTTTTATTGACAACATATGTCGTTTCATAAAATTACAAAACCAGTCGTTTCCAGGGATGCCATTGGTAAATGGTGTATTTATGTTATTTTTTTTAACGTACTCGCCAACCAGTTCTAATACCTCTTTCCGACTTAACCCAAAGCCATGCCTTTCCATAATATGTAGACAGTTAGCTAACTCTATTTCAATTTCGGCTGACAAGGCTGGTGGTCTACCTTGTGTTGATGATTTGTACTAAGCTATAATTATTTTTGCTCGCTTTTGTCTGAAGACAAAAGCAAAAATAATTATAGCTTAGTACAAAAACGAAAAACTCATGAAAAGCCGTGCCTGAGAACCTTGCTATGCGGCAACCTATGGAGGAAGCCATGTTCAGCTGTGGGCTTGTGATGGCATGCAATGATGATTTGAAAACTAGAATGATAAATTTTTGAGAAATCGATGTGCTACAATTTTTTTATCACAATTGACATTAATGAATTTTTAGTGTTATACCATAAATAGCACTTCTTAAAACTAAAACAGTAAATAAAACTAGTTAACCACGGCTACCTCCAGATTTAAAAAAAATAATCTGGAGGTAGCCGATTTTTAATCTGGAGGTAGCCGTGGTTAACTAACATTGGGACGTCATACACCTCAGCCCCCCCCCCCCCCCCCCCCCCGTGATCACGGGTGTTGTAAAGTGCTCGAAACGTTGGGAATATAAAATAAGTTAATATACGCGATAAAATCAAAAATTAGTTTTATTTAAATGTGTAGTCTTTGCGTAAATATAAGAAATCATTAAAACACAGTAAGGTAAGTATATAGTAAAACATTAAAATAAATGTTGTTGTTTGTCCTTATTTTTATTTCATGCTCGTGATACGCATGATCGTGATTCAAATATTATATAGAATTTCTTATGGATTATTACAGTCCCTCTTAAACTTACCTCTATCAGGTACTTATCAGAAACTCAAAGGTTTATGCCCTATGCTAGGCTGGCATAAAGTACACAAAAGGACAACATTCATTTAGAATATATTCTATCCTAAGTCTATGACAATATTCTATACCGGATGGCTGGAATTTGGACCATAGCCTTTTTTTTTGTTTATCGTCGTATTTGAAATTGTTCTTGAAATAATATGATTTTAAATGAATGTTCACAACGTTTTTAGGTAAAATAATCTATCGTTGAATAGTTGTTTACAAATTTTGTGCTTTATACTTAGTACGTAGTAGTACGAAATTTAAAGTTGAAAATTGGCACTCAAAGGCTGGTAATAGGGGCATCATCATTACAGCCCATCACAAGTCCACTGCTGAACATAGGCCTCCCCCAAGGAATGCCACAAAGCACGGTCCTGAGCCACCTGCATCCATCGACTTCTTGCATATCTTACCAGGTCGTCACTCCATCTAGTGGGGGGACGCCCTACACTTCGTCCGCCGGTACGAGGCCGCCACTCGAGAACCTTTTTCGAGCTATATGGCCGGCCTATTGCCACTTCAGCTTACTAATCCGTTGGACTATGTCGGTCACTCTGGTTTTACTGCATCCTCATTTCTAAGTTTATCACGCAGAGAAACTCCAAGCATAGTCCTCACCATAGCTCGCTGAGCGACCTTGAGATTCCTCATCCGGCTAGCAGTGAAGGACCACGTCTCAGTATCATAGGTCATCACTGGCAAGACGCACTGGCTGAACAGTATATATATAGGGGCATCCACCCTCCTAACTCGTGTTTGGCTTACTTCACATGCCTCTGAATTTTTTTTAATTATCTTACACATGCGAGCTTTCCGTAAAATGTTTTCCTTGACCTTCAACATTCTGCGTTGTTTTTCGGTAGTTTTGCGCTGTTAGTCAGGCGGCTTTTACAACTTTATCAGACTCGGGCTTCGCCGCCGAAATGATGTTTTAACCTGTTAAATCAGCATATGAAATTAAAATTTGTCACTAGAAATAATATATTTTGTTATAATTTTTTTTAAATTCCTATTGGAACATCAGGGCGGACGCTTCTCGTTCCGTTCTCTCTCACACAAAATGAAAGGAGCCGTGTGCTCTTCGTGTCGTGGTGGGAGGCGTGTTGTGACGCGAGTGCTATGCGCAGGGCTGGCGCAAGCCGAAGACCCGCACGGTGATGCCGGCGGGTGGCGCGGGGCCGGGGGGAGCGGGCGGCGCGGGCGGCAGGTCGCCGCACTCGCACGACGCCGCACACGACTCCAACAACGAGGACACACTGCACTCGGTCAAGGTGCGCTTTCGTCACTTTCTTTTTACCACGTTTTTAATTCCTTTTGTATTATGGAAAAGCAGGCAAACGAGCATACGGCTCACCTGATGAACATCTGCAACAACAGAGAAATTGCAGACGCCAGGCCTCTGCCACTGTTGCTACCTGCGTGAAAAGATTACCTACTAATCGCGAGGCGCCCCAGGGGTAGATCGCAGTCGGAGCTAGCGCGTTCGAGGCGATTGAATGTTAAATGTTAAAGTTTTTTTAACGCTGATTACGTAAATAGTTTTTTGTAAATACTTGTTGAAATACTCGTCTAAATAGTTTTGTTTAGTGTTCAGTATATTTAATTGTAGCATGAAATAGTTGAAAAAGTTTTAATGTAATTTAAGAATATTACCTATCGATTTCATAAATTATAATGACATAACATCGTTCCTATTATAATTGTTGCGGGGATGGATGCTTAATGAGCAATTAAAATGATTCAGATATATCATTTTTTAAGTTACCGAAGTATAATTAAATGATGAATTTATTGAATGAATTTATTTCATTTTTTGTTAGGTAGGTACTTTAGAGCGAAAAAAGAATTAAGTAATAATTTAACTACAGAAGTAACCTAAGTACTTTATTACAAAACAGTTGAAATTTACTTCACTAACCAAGTACCTACCTACTTACATACTTGTCTTTTGTAATTAAAATATTTTAAGTTTAAGCACAAAATACTGAAATTAAAACTTTGTTTAGAAGATTTTTAACTAAGTAGATTACGATCATATTTCTGTTAGGAATCGTATTTCGGATTTCTTTGTTGTTTACGATATCTACTTATACGAGCCAATCATCGCGATTCCCGACGAATGGCCTTGCAAATTACATGCGTTGGGCATCACAGAACTCACATAGTAGATAATATGGTAAATTATAATCAGCATAGGCACCTAAGTAACTTACCATTTCACAATGTATTTTTTACTCTTTATTAACAGTCCAAGATACAAAGTAATAAGGACACTCGCGCGCAGTGATAAAGTTTTATTTAGGTTGCATGCGCGATTTATCTGATTAATAATAACTATGTAGGCTATTAAAACGTCGGCAAGGAGTCAACATCAAAGGAGTGCAACTTCTCTACGTAGTATTATTATTTATTCTGTGCAGATGCGTAAGGGTTCCTAAGTCGTATCAGTCCGTAAAAATCGCTGGCACAGTGTGGTCACGCAATGCAAAATATTCCGCGGATACTTTAGCCCATAGACATCTACATCTATCTTACTTACTTCCAGTAAAAACGGTATCCGATTTTTACAGAAACGGCAGCATTTAGCTCCTATATCACTGTGCGTATACTGTGAGAGCGTAGTATTTCTCCGGTTGAGCCGACCCATTCGTGCTACCACTATATAACTGCAGCGTAGCTCTACCACATATGAAAGAACGTTTGCGTTCCTCTTTTAAATCGCTTTGTTTTTTGTTCGTCTGTTCGATAAAAATTTTGCAATCAATTTTAAACCAAAATTCCCGATGTGGCTAAATTTTAAATATAGCGCTGGAATGGTGGTAAAAACGCCCTTTGTTTGTTGTTGCTGTTTGGACACGCTGTTTGTTGTCATTGATGATGGTATTTGACATGTTTATACTGTCTATTAGAGGTCATGAGATATTCCACATTCGACACTTACGGTATATATTATATACAAAAGTACAATTAAAAAAATATGTGGACGAATAGGAATCTACGCCCTCACTTATGATCGTTGATTGCTCATTATAAGTATATAATAAGTATTAATTATTTCTATGCCTGTCTCTTTCTATTATCATTTAGTGAAAAGAAAGGGAGCATCTTTAAGCATTTATAAAATTGATGCAATTTCTTATGAGTTACGCTGTTAATTTTTAGTGCTACGTGTATTGATTATAAATTAAATGTTTGATTTCAGGACAAAGATGGGAAAAAGAAGAGCAAAAATAAAGAGGGTAAGTAAACTCTTATATATTTGCCGTTAACTGCATCAATATTTAAAGAAGTTTATTTTTAAATTTGAATACATTTAACCTCCTTTTTTTTTTTGCTTGCTTCCTGCCTTGGGATGTGTTGGTAAGTATTATGCTAATTGAACTGAAATTATAACATACCTTCTAAGCACTTATAGCGTATGAATTTTATTTCTATATAATTAAAACTCGGAACATAAAATAAAATAAAAGCTTATACTAAGCTCTGCTTAAGTTACGTTACGCATATGTTACGTTAAGCTGACTGACCTGAAGCATTCGCCTGTCCTTGTCGTGTATGTCCTTGTATGTCGAATGCTCTATCAAGTCTCTAAAAATTTCATTTATTCTTTACAGCCTATTAATTAAAGTCCATTGCAGAATATAGGTCTCTCCATAGAATGCCTCATAAGGGAAATTGCCATAACTGTACGTGGTAGAGCCATGCTGCAGCTATATCAGTAGTATAGTTGTAGCACGATTGGGTCGGCTCGACCGGGGAAGGAACACGTTCTCACAGAATACCAGCGTAAAATGGTAGCTTGACACTGTTGTGTTTCGTATGGTGAGTGTAGAGGACCGCAGACCTTTTTTACTAGAAAAGAGGCATTCCATCTTAGTTCTCACGGGTGACAACGCATCTTCATTTTGATTCGCAAACGAGGATAGATGTAGATGTCTATAGGCCACATCAACCACTTACCATCAGGTGGACTGTGGGCTCGTTTGTCACACGATCCTATAAAAAAAATTGTCACACTTGGCATGCAGGTTGGCAACCTCAGTTTTTTTTTTTACTAGTTGTTATTAGGAAGCCACTGCTCTCCATCTCCAGGTTAGTTCTCCTTGTTTAGTTTCCCTCTGTCGCCTCTTACGACATACGCACGATAGGGTTAGTGAATATTCTTTTACCGCCACTACACGTTAACCGTAAAACTTTCATAATTTCTGAAGGGGTTTCAAAGAATTTTTTTTCTTACTTTTTCTCTTGAATTATCATCATCATTACAGCCTTACCTAATTCCAGTGCTGAACACAGGCCTACCACAAAGAAAGTGAATGTCATGTCTTACCAGGTCATTACTCCTTCTAGTGGGGAGACGCCCTACACTAAACTCACCAGTAATGGTAATTTTCCCTTGAATAGACCATCATCAACCATATTCGACTGTATACTATAGACTATAGGCACTTGCAAGATTACGTCAGCTGGGTTAATAGCTTGAAATAGTCAACACAGGGCAAACCGGTTAGGGGACACAGCCAGTGTTAGAGTACAAAATAAATTCTGTTTCCCATTACCAATCTGTGACTTCGACAAAGGGAGGCTGATCCTCCTCCTAGCTCCTTGGATCTTTCTTGTGCAAAGGATAACGTTACCTTGTTAGTGTTTTGTGAACCTTTTCGCGGGGATCGATTAAGGATGAGCTTTTATATTAAGTATATTAATTAAGAAATGCTGGTCTGACGAAGAAATGTTGCGTATGCTTGACTGGATCATTTTGAATATTTTGATGATGCTTGTTGCAGATAATTAAAAGATATACACACTAAATACTATTAGTTATTTTTGAAAGCTATTGATTGAGAACAGCCGTATAGAACAAATGTTACAGACATAACGTCATCATTTTACTAGACTTTATTATTAGAACAATATTATATTCTAATATTTAAAAATAAATTATCATCGTCAAACATCCCGGCCCAAAAGAACCCTGTTCTTATAAGCATCGTATTGAGGTATTAATATAAGCTTTGATATTAATACTATATATATGCTATATATATATGCTATTTTTTTTATATAGCGTCTTTTCCGGTACTCCTACTCCCAAGGCGTAGTCCCGAATTCATGGAAGACAGCTTTTGTCCACCCGATCCCTAAAAAAGGCGACCGCTCAGACCCGTCCAACTATAGGCCTATCGCGATCACCTCCTTGTTCTCCAAAATAATGGAATCCATTATTAACTGCCAGCTCATCCGGTACCTTGAGGATCACCAGCTGATTAGTGACCGCCAATACGGTTTTCGTCGGTGTCGATCAGCTGGTGATCTTCTGGTCTACCTGACCCATAGATGGGCGGAGGCAGTAGAGTCCAAGGGGGAGGCGTTGGCCGTTAGTCTGGACATTGCGAAGGCCTTTGATCGGGTTTGGCACAAAGCGCTTCTTTCAAATATTTCATGCCGGCACACCGCCTGCAACTTTTACAAGGCGCAGGTTCGGCCTCACATGGAATACTGTTCCCATCTCTGGGCAGGGGCTCCCCAGTGCCAGCTCCTTCCACTTGACCGCATCCAGCGCAGAGCGGCTCGAATCGTCGACGACCGAGCCCTTTCCGATCGGCTCGTTTCATTGGCACTGCGAAGAGATGTTGCATCTCTTTGCATTTTCTTTCGCATCTACCATGGGGAGTGCTCTGAGGAATTGTTCGGATTAATCCCAGCCGCCAAATTTCACGAACGCACATCGCGGCAGAACTCCCGATACCATCCACACCATCTGGATGATTGGCGGTCCACCACTGTGCGATTTAGAAGATGTTTTCTTCCTCGCACAACTTCCTTGTGGAATAGTTTACCACCAGGGATTTTTCCGGACCGATACGACTTAGGGACCTTCAAGAAAAGAGCCTACTCCTTTTTAAAAGGCCGGCAACGCATCTGCAATTCCCCTGGTGTTGCGGTTGTTCATGGGCGGCGGTAGTCACTTACCATCAGGTGAGCCGCATGCTCGTTTGCCCCCTCTACTATAAAAAAAAAAAAATAACAGACGTATAAGTGTAGATTTTTCACCTTTATATTTTAAAGTTACAACATGAACCTATTCATCATGACCACGATGTAATAATTCAGGAAGTCGATGGATGCAGATGGCTCAGGAACGTGATTTGTGGCATTCCTTGGGGGGACGCCTATGTTCAGCAGAAATTTGCGAAGGGCTCTAATGATGATGATATTGCGGATAAAGTGAATGTAGAATTATATATATTGTAAGTTGAAATCTATGGGATTTGTGTATATTTATTTCCTTACCTTAACTCTTACAGTATCTCCGTGATGTGATAAAGGATTTAGAAATCGCTATTCAAAGGAATCCAAATCTGACATCGGCAAATTTCCTTGTTTCCAGATCCCTCAGTGCTCATAGAGGGCGTGCTGTTTCGTGCGCGATATCTCGGCTCCACCCAACTCGCGTGTGAAGGACAACCCACAAAAGCGACCAGAATGCTTCAAGCCGAAGAAGCGGTGTCAAGAATTAAGGTGTGAATTTTTCCTCATTATTAAAACGTTTATGATTTCAGTAAAAGTTTCAAGGTCACAGATTTGAAGGAGCTGAAACTCTGGTGGAAGTAAAAAAACAGTAATATTGTCAATATTCTAAAAAAATTAAATTAATTTCAATAGAAAACAATGTTTACAATCGTATTAAGAAAATGAAGTAGAGTTTTTGACTTGTGCGTTTAATAAAAATAATATTTATTTAATAGCATATATTTTTCAGATATAAATGATATGTATGAAAATAAATATGTTTTCGCATTTAACTATTTAATTGCTCATTATAAATACCTTCCAGGTTATAATCTCTAATGCTTACCCGTTTTAAAAAGTGCCCCAAATATTCAAAAGCTGCTCAATTGCATGCACAACGTGAGGTGCTCTACTCTCGATATGTGACCGTACCTCAATTTCGCTACATAAAATTGTTCTTATACTTTTAGCTCAACACCAAATGCATATTATTATTAACGTTACAATAAGTACAGATATTGAATTACAAGATTACTTTATTTTCTAATTGATTCACTTTAGATTACATAACAAAACATGTAATTTAAAAAATATATGGACTGCCGTCCGTTGGTCTGTGCATCGGTGAGTTATCTCGCTTAATAGAAATGTAAACAATAGATTGAGATATATAGTATTCAATAAGATTCCATATATTCTAAGGAGGATCCCTATTGATTGTTTTTATTGAACTCAACACCGTTTAAAAGTTAATAATGAAAGTCGATCGGATTCTGTTTTTTTCTTTCTTGTAAAAATTATCGTCACTATTATTATAATGAAACTGATGAGGCGTGCACTTTTGGGTTTTCCAAACGATATTTAATATTTTAAGATGCCTTTAAGTCACGTGCTGTCTCTATCACTTTCAGACAAAGTGACTGACACCCTAATACTGCATCTTAAAATTGATTAACGTTTGAATATTTGGCCAGTCTTTTAAATCTAAACTTTACCTTTGATCTATGCAAAGTATCGTTAATAGAGTGCTCGTAGGGATGTACTCTACATAGCTCATTCACTCCTTTACAACACTTATATAGTAAGTACGGGTGTAGTAAGTGTAAACGATTGCTTGTAATAAATTGATCTTGTCGAGAATTTAGCTAGCTAGTTGGTGACGGTGCCAAAAAAGACAATTATGTTAATACTTCTTTATGAAAATGTTTTATGAACATTCACCGAATCAGCCTTTTCCTTCAAATTTGGGGCCAAACATGTCCGACTAAAATCAAATACTAATACTCGTTAACTTTTAGTTATTTCCTTTTGTCTTAACATTTTTTTTTGTCATAATAACTGCATACTTAACATGACTAAACATCATCGTATATAATACAACGATTACAATTAGAGTAAATTCCTTAATAGTTTTTTTTTAGTTATATCTACTTATTATGGTATAACATGGAAAGCCGTAAACCGTTATTTTTAAATACATATACAAAAAAAAATTACAATTTAATACATTTCTCTTTTTAATCTTCCTATATATTTACCGGATTTTTATATTACTGGACACGCATTCTCATACAATCAGAGGCAAATTACCATTTGCCAGTGTGAATCGGTACTTTGTAAAAATATTCATAATATTATATTTCGTAGTTGTTTTATTACGAGCATGAAATTACCTCCTACTGTGTGTGTTGCACCAACGGCTGTAAATATATTTTGTGCTGGGTCACAACAGCATCAAGTCTGCGATAATACAACCGTCGAAAAACATGTTGTAATTATAAAACTTCACTTAAATTTTATAACACCTTGCTTGAAAGACGTGTTTCACCCAGGCCGCGTGGTCGCTTGTATGTGACGCGAGTATACGTGATGACCGTGATGGCAGTATTTTCGCTATATCCTCCCGCGAATTGTGAATGTCGTTAATTGACGATAATGTAATTATTTAAAAAAAAGTAGTGCATAACTTTTTAATATTTGTTACTTTTCTGACTGTGATTTTTCTGAATAGTTGAAAAATTGATGTATTTTCTGAAACAACTAGCATAAAGTTGAGCCTTTTTGGACAGAAAATGACACATCTTTGAGCCGTGTAACTTTTATTTGAAACTATACTTTCCTTAACAGATTCCTTAAATTCACAGGCAAAGATATTATTTTCTACATTGTGCCTATATAATCTCATTGTCTATGGTTTGTTTATTAAAATCAGGACCAAACATGGCTGAATGTGAGACTAGCATAAAAGCGATGTTAAACTATTGGCAAATAAACTTATTATTCAAGAACAAAAACGTGCAAGCAATTTTTAATTTTATTGCCTTGTAATGACTGCTTAAAATACAATAAACACTAAGAGTGTTTACAGATTTAAAGTTTACTTTATAGTACGCGAAATACGTCCATATGTAAGTAATTTCATGCTCACTATGATTAGTGTTTTGAGAATGCTAGTGGGATATATCCTTTTTATCCTGTATCCTAAAATGTGTCAATTACAATACAACTTTTAGTAAACAAATTAGGAAAGAAATCCTAGTGAATGCTCAGATATTTGTAACAGTCGAGTGAAGTGCGTGACCGCCCGCCAGACCGTATACGCTCGTATTGACATCGCACTAGAGTATTTTTTCAGTGTCCTCCTCACCCCTCGACCCGACCCGAGAAGATTATCGGATCCCGTATTGGCCGGCTAGCCTCCTCTGGATATGTTTGTTTGTCGCTTGTTCCGCTTTGTGCCACGCTTTGTACTGTGTTTGTAATTTTATTCAATATCAGGTAAAGTATGTCACTATAGGATGGTTTCATCAATGTTTGTATGTTACGCATGCTTACAGCAGGCTAAACTACAAAGCTGCAAAAGCTACAGCCACGCATTTGCACAAATAACAAATTGTGTACGCTACTTTTTTATACTTTTAATCGTAATATAATAAGCATATAGTAGCATATAGCATATAGCGTAATATAATTGCATATATAAGCAAAAAGGTCCAAGAGTAATTTTATAGATAGTGTATTTTAGACAAACCTTTTTGATTTTATTTTTAGAATAATAATAATAATACTTATGGTGTACACAATTTAGTAAGAAAGTTTTCTTAATTTCGTATAAACATTTTAAAAAGGAAATAAAAAATATTTATTAGTTAGTTAATCGTAAACCAAAATAGCGTTCAGAATACATATATATATATTCAACTGTTTTGGAATGAACGAATTTAAATGTCTAAATGTAGCATTAATCGCTTCGTCGCTCCCGATGTTCATCATACACTTTGTCCATTATTAACGCACCATACAGCATGAGACGACCCGATTCACACCGGCTAGGGTGGCCTTACACAACGCAGGATTGCACCAACATGGGCCCAGCTTTATGCCTGCACACAAAAAAAAACCTTACTGTAATAATTTTAAGGTTAATTTTCTGTTAGGTCTGCTTTCATGATATGGATAAAAATCTCCCGCTTCTCACATACCATTATCGATTTGTGCGACATATTCGGATTTGTTTTGCTTGCTTTTGCGCCGAAATACAGACTTATTTAAATGTTTCTGAGGTCTTAATATTGGTAAGGAATTCTAACATTAATTCATATTATTATGAATTATAATTTTATGTTGAAATTTATAATTAAATTTACTTTAGGGAGGCCATTAATTTTTGGGTAATTTTATAGGTTATAAGTCTCGTCTTGAATCTAAGCTATGCTACGCTGGGGATTAACATTGCAATTAATTTAAAATATGCCTCTTGGAATTAAATTGTATTGTGCTAATGCTGTTTGACGTATGGTAATTTGAGCTTTGCTTTCAAAAATGTTGCCACAATGTTTACATATAGTTTACTTTCGTATTTACCGCGGATAAGGCCCATTGCACGGATGAGTTAAGTGTTGATATAGATCGACATTTCAAAATCGTCAAAGTCTTTTGTGTTAATGAACAAACTTGGAACAATAAAATAGAATATGAATATATTTTTATATCATATTTTGGTAATTAATTCCTTTAAGGTCCATAGTCCTTGAGGTTCACACTGGAGTATTAAATAGGAACATAGGAATATTTTTAAATTTTTACTTATTAAAAAATAGCTTTGACCATATTCAGAATCTAAATGAGTACAGATTATGCATGGCAAAATTCGTTTAATTTTCACTTTCTGCAGTTTATTTATTCATAACATAAACTGGTGGACCGATTAAGAAAAAAAATCTTGTAATTACACAACTGTACATCGATTAAAACCAGTTTAACTTCAATATTATTATTTGCTTTTGAGATATTCGAGGCAAAATTTAACCACGAACGTACATTCTAGACTTACATAGACACCACCTAAAAACTATGGCACCCGACTTTAGCGAATTTGAAATGTGGAGATGACTATATCTAAAAAAGAATAACTGCGTAATTAGTCAATTATAAATGAAATTTATTTAATTAAATTTTCACAAATTAAATAATAAATGCTACGTATATTATTAGGGATTAAAAAAGTTAAAATTAAACGCGATAAAATCCGTCAAATTAGTTTTATTCAATAATATTATTTCTGCGCGTAACGACCGTAAATAAGAAGCAAACAAAACAAAGAGAGCGCGTGTGTGAGAAGCGGTGGGTCGGCGGGAAGCCGGGAAGTGAGGAGGCTAGCCGGTGTTGTCCCGACAGTGGGGCTGCGAGGGGCCGTACTCGGGCGTGTACGCGGCCCCGGCGGCCGTGTTCCGCCTCTCGTTCCTCGGCTCGGTCGAGGTGGACGAGGACTCGAGGCGGAGGAAGAAGAGGCCCAAAAAGAACATGGTGGAGGAGGCCGTCACAAAGATCAAGGTTGCCTTGTGATTGCACATTTTTTCTTAAAAAATACAAGTATGTAATCATTTCCACGTCAAGTAATGTCAATTTTAAAGACAAATCTATGGAATTGGTAAGTGAAATAAAAACAAAACACTTCAGTTAATTAAAACGCCTGTATAAATGGCTACCGACAATACTTCAAATAATAC